TGTATACTTTAGAAAGTGAGAGATTCCAACAATCTGTTCCCCGCTCCAATCCAGAGCAGCTGTGTTACAAAGCTGTTAGTTCACACTCTTGCCATTAGTGACACCTGACACGTGGCACTGCCCGGGCACAGCCACAGGTTCCCCTGTGACACCTGAGAGGCAGGGGCTGGAGCTGCTGAAGCACAGAGCGCCCTTTCCCTCCCGCTGAGAGCCGGCCCCTCGCCCCCGCCCTGCCTTTCTGGGGCCAGATTTTGGATCCAAAGGCTCACTATTAGACACACCTGCACTATCAAAGGAAAACGAACTTATTAAGGAAAATGAGTGCAAACATGGCCTGAAATGGTGGAACGAGGCAACTTTCAATACAGCCAACGTGAGAACCACACAGGATGTCTTTCTTACTCTAAATAATGAAATCAAAATGTTAATTTCTGACGAGCACAGACACGAACAGAGCATTGTGACGAACTCTTATCTATATGAGTCAGGAAGAAAAATGTTCACGTTAGACACTTAAAATCCTTCTTTTTTGGGGCTATTTTGAAAAACTTACTAAAATACCAGAGTTTCAAAGTCGCTAAAAAACCCACCCTTATCCTGATCTAACTGCTAAAATTAACCCTGAAATAGTAATGTGCAGAAAAGAAGGAACATCTAAAAATTCCACCTCCCCCTTCCCAAAGTTTCTTTTAAAATACTTTGGGGAATCTTACGTTAGAGCAGCAAACGGATGGCGTCCTCCCGATCACTCAGCCAGCAATTAAATTGAGACCTTTGTGCAGAAGCAAGTCAGGCGCTTAACGGTGCATGCTGGGGTTTGTAGTTCAGATCCCTTCAGTTTTTAAGAGGACTCTCACGTTCATACTGTAAATGTGTATGAGCTGCCTCCTAGTGGACCTCAGTTGGAACTGTTAAGTCCAAGTAGAAGGTGAAAAGTAGAAAGCATTTTACAGCTTACTTGGGATGTGGAAATCATTTCCTTCACTTTAAGATTAATCTAAGTCCTTGTCGTTTGTTTGGACCTACTGTGTGCTGTTCTGAGGTTCTCAAGATTGAATAAGTCAGGCCCTGGACGGTGTGCACAGTGGTTAGAGCCTCGGCCCAGGCTCCAAAGGGTCTCCAGTTGGATTTCTAATCAAGAGTAGCAGATAGGTTGCAGGTTCCATCCACAGTCGGGTCAGGGCTTATGTGGGAGACAACCAATCGATGTGTCTCTCTCACATGGATATTTCTCTCACCCCTCTCTCCCTCCCTCTCACTATTTAAGAATCAATGGAAAAAATCCTTGGTGAGGATTAACAAAAATATTGAGCCAGAAATTGCCTGTGGAAGATAGCAGCAACAAAATAGAAAGAACCCAGGTCATTGAAGATGCTGGAGCCTTCCTTCCTGGCCTTCAAGCTAGATTGTGTGTGTATAAAATCATTGATCCGCTGCCTCCTGCACACCCCACCCTGGGGATAGAGCCTGAAACCCGGGCATGTGCCCTGGCTGGGAATCAAAACCCTGACCTTCTGGTTCAAAGGTCAATGCTCAATCACTGAGCCATGCTGGCCTAGTCACGCTCAGTTTATTCTAATCACTAATACGTGTTTAGTGGCAGAAGGCAGCCATCTTGACTACAGTGAAGGAGGAGGGTTTGGGATCTTCAGTAGAAGTACATGTTGGGTGAGAAAAAAAATTGTAGCAGGAGAGAACAGATATCAAATAAAAAAGAAAGGACTAGGTCACGTGGGCCCTCTATGGTAGGCTTCATAACTCAAATATTATTGGGCAGAATGATTGTATAGGCAATTTGTGCATGCACTATAGAAGTTGGCTTACTCAACACTCACCCCTCACTTTTCCATGCCTGTTATTTTCTAAAGACCAGAAAGCAAAACTCTCAATTCCTGTTAGAGTTGGCTGGCCAATGAAATGTAGTCTGGAATTTCTGAGGGCTTCTCAGAGAGGTGAGGCTTCTCTGAAAGACTTTTGACTTTTGTTCTTTCCCACCTCCCCCTTCTCCTGAAATGCAGCTATGATGTCTTGGGACACAACAGCCACTTTGTGACTTGGAATGAGGTCAGAGGCACACGTTAAAGAAGGTAAAAAAAGGGACCTGGTTCCTTGAAGACAGCCTCAAGATAAGAGCCCTAGAGTAACTCCTCTGGAGTTTTCATGTGAGAAAAATAAATTTCCTTAGATTCCTTTTATCCTTTAAGTTTTTTGTTCTTGGAGCTAAGTGTGTTTATAACAGTCATAGTGGTTTAGAACACTATGGAGTCAGAAAGATGAAGATAGGTTCCTATCTCTTCCTCAGTAGTTAAGTCACTTAGCTCCCAAACCTGCTTTCTCACCTGTGAAATAAAGGTAACCATAGCACCTACCTCAGGGAAGGACTTAGCATGTAAAACCAGCAGCACAAAGTGTTCCATTTGAACTTAGTTATCATTAAATAATGGTTAGCAAAAATTGTCCTTTAAAAAAATTTTAAAAACCTGAGCCTAGTTTCTGCATGTGCCCACATGTGGTCTTTGCTAAAACTGTACCTGATTATCCCACTATTGTTCCTAATGTTGGGTCTAGTGATCTGCAACCACGTACAGCCGTGCTCCTTGCTTTAATGGTGACTTTTCTTTGATTTATGAAGATTTTGGGATAGATTTTTTTATGAGTATGAAAATTCTCTAATTAAGGCCAACTCCAACGCTTTTTAAAAAAATGTTCATGTGAGGATGTTTTCTGTTGATTTTAGAAAGGAATGGAAAGAAACATCAATGTGAGAAACATCTGACTGGTTGCCTCTTGTACATGCTCTGAACTCACAACTTAGGTATGTGCCCTGACTGGGAATCAAACCCACAACTTTTTCGTGTACAGGACGACACTCCAACCGAGCCACCTGCCAGAGCTCCAACACTATTTTTTGTTAATCCTCACACAAAGATATTTCTCCCATTGATTTTTAGAGAGTGCAAGAGTGGGAGAATAACATTGATACAAGACACATTGATGGACTCCCACTCAGGCCCTGACTGGGGCTAGGGATTGAACCTGCAACCCAGGTATGTGCCCTTGACCAGAAATCAAACCCATGATCCATCCGTGTGTGGGTAGACACTGTAACCACTGAGCCACACCAGCCATGGTTCAAAATAAGTTTTAAAGAAGCTCCATGATCTACATGAAAACACAGACATCTAAATGAAACCATTCAAATAAAACACGAAGAAAATAAAAAAATGAACAGAGATAGAAACTACAAAAAAAGAACCAAACAGAAATTCTGGAGCTGAGGAGATTGAAAAATACACTAGAGGAGCTCAACAGAGGAAGAATCGACAAAGTTGAAGGCAGGACACTGGATGTTATCCAGTCAGAGGCAAAAAAGAAAAAAAAGTGAAGAGCCTAAGGTACTTATGAGACATCAGCAAGTGGACCAACAGATGCACAGTGGAAATGCCAGAAGATAATGGTAAAAACTCCCAAAATCTGAGGAAGGCAATGGACATCCAAATTCAAGAGTGAAACAACATTCTACTAGACTGGAAACCTGACGACTGATTATATTTTTAATGGCCTCACGGTAGTTTTATTACACAGGTGTACTTACTAATTTGCATTCCTTTTATTCAGTAGAGGAACAGATATTGCAAAGAATGAAATCTGTACTCTTGTTTGGGTAAGTGCGGAAAGCAGAAACTACACTCCCAAGGTACAGACCTGGGGGAGAGGAGAGGATTTTAGGGATAATTTCTCCTTAGCCCTATAAACTGCTATGATAGTATGTTAAAGAAAAATATGCAATTCATAGACTAAAAACAACAGCTATGATGTACTTCATAATTTCTTTCCTGGAAATGAATCTTACCAAAAAAGTTAAGAATAACTAACTCTGTTCTGAACTTCATGTAACTTGTTTTGTCCCTTTCTAGTCATGTGATACAAAATCTCGGACACTCTCTGAAATCATAGTCCTTGACCTCTTAGAGAGTCCGAGTCCTTTGAGATGATGATAAAAGTATAAACCCAGTCCCTAGAAAAATGAACCCACACACAAGCTAACCATTTCCCAGGTTATCCTAGAAAAATGAACCCACACACAAGCTGACCATTTTCCAGGTTATACAGATTGCATGAAGCTCATTCGCAAATGCCTTGAATACATGGGGTCTGAGGTTTAGAACACGTATTTAGAAGCTTTTTAGTTACTATAGTAAAAAGATTAAGACTAGAAAATAAAAAAAGGTCATAGCACCTACTATCCCATAGCAATTTAAATCCAGAAAGCATGTGCATATTTTTTTCCTAGCAATTACATCATTTAAAAATATTTTTATTATTGACAGTATTCCAGAGGACCCCCATCCTCCCCTCCTTCATCCTCCCCAGCCAGCCCCTCCCCATCCAGGCCTTCACATCCTTACTGCGTGTCCATGGGATATCAGTTCTCTGGTGTATCTCTTCCTTCCCCACCCCCACACCGAGGCATGTCAGCCTGTTCTGGGCCTCCATGCTTCCAGTCTTATTTTGTTGGTTGATTCATTTTGTTCATTAGCAAAATTCTAAATGTTAACAAACAAAACAGGAGAACGAAGATATCCTGAGTATTCCACTAGAAAGCCATTAATTAATATGATAGGAGTTGGATTCAGTATTAATTAAATACTGACTGAATGTTCAAGGTACTAAACAAAGAATTTATAACTTTGTTAAGTTCCATGTGGATGTTACAGTAATTAAAAATGGACACAATTTAGATGAAAAGTTTCCTTCAATAACTTTATTCTTTAATAATATACAAATAAATAAGACAGTTCCACTTCTTAGTATGACATTCATGCCGATGGCATTGCTATCACCGAAACTACTAGAATGCCTTTACCTCCTGTTCCTTCACCTTTCAATCTGGTGGCAAAACGAAAGCGGAATTGAAATTAAGTTGGACTGTGACATAATTGCCGGCGTAGACACAGGGAGTAACAGCCGAGGATTGCGGCCCCGGAAGTGACAGGCGGCTACTGCATCTTGCACTCGGGCAGGTCCTTTTCTGAGAAGCCCTGACAGTCAGCCGGCTGAGGAGCCATGTTCTCCCCTCCAGCAGTTGGCTCTTCTGAGGAAAGAAAATAAAAATTAGAAGCCATCTTATTTAAAAAATACACAAAACTCAAATACAACGGGAAATGCAAAGAATGTTAAGACAGTGGAGATATGAAAAAATGAAACCTGGCAACATGCTCATTAACACCCTCATGTCTGGTCATTAAGAAACGTATATTTCACTTCATCAGAGACATAGTTTATTCTCCATTTTTTCATACAATGAATTGTGAGAAAAACCATGCTGTATATAAAACCAAGGAATGATAGACTTATTTGATTTTATAAATTTGAGATAAAAAGTGAATCAAACATGGATTAAGTTTGATTTTCTTTTGTCCTATTTTTAGAAAAAAATGGTGTGCTAAAATAGCAGTTGAGAGAATATGTAGATATCTTTGGAAAACTGAGCCTTTAAAAGCACATCAGCTGCATCCGTTTGTTTATGAACTGTATACAGTATAGCTGACCCTTGAACTACAGGTTTGAACTGCACAGGAGAACTTTTATGTGGATTTAAAAAAAAAGTTTTTGATTTTCGAGGGAGAAAGGGAGGAGGATAAAAACATCCATGAGAGAGGAACATCATCATCCTGTACTCCCCCTGCTGGGGATCAAACCCCTAACTTGGCATGGAGCCTCACTGGCTGGGCTACATGTAGAATTTTTTCAGTGAATAACTGTAATTTAGTTTCTCTTCGAGTTTATTAACATTTCATTTTTTTTCTAGCTTACTCTATTGTAAGAATACAGTATATAATACTTATAACATAAAAAACAGGTGATAATTGACTACGTTATCAGTAAGGCTTCCAGTTAACACTAGGTTATTAATAGCTGTTTCTACAGGAGTCAAGTTACTTGGATTTTCGAATGTGCAGGGCGGTCAGCCCCCATGTTGTTCAAGGGTCAACTGTAAATCTAGCATAACTGCTCTGGCCAGTCATCTCAAGTTCCTGAGATAATTTAGATTCCCTTTTATAATTAAAAACTGACAACTTTTTAAAAAACTATTATTTTACTAATTTGAGCTGGAACTCTGTCTTTTAATTCTGAATTGGTCAGTTTTTTTTTTATTTGTATATTTCTCCAGCCTCTTTTGTTAATTTCACTGAAAAATAGTACCAGAAGATCTGTATATTGACAAATAGGATGAAACAACTTTATTTGTGGTTGGATTAATTTACACAGAGACAGGCAGCCTGAGCCTGAATTAATTAGTAAGTAAATTATATAAGCCAATGACTATAATGCTCACGCCCAGCTCTGCAGGGTACTGCAAGGGAGGCTGTAATGTGTTGCTGGCCGTCTTTCTCGCCACGTGGCATTCAGCGTGGCCAGGTGAGCGTGGCCTGAGCCCTGTGTGACGGTGTCTGCCTGTCTGAAATACCCTATCACACAGGATAAGCCTTAGAGCCCGGTGTGCTCTAGAACATTACCCTTTTTTGGACTACATGATTACCAACTATACCTCCTGTTAGACTGCAAGCTCCGGTGGGCAGGGGTCATGTCTGGTTTTGCTCATCTATGTACCATCGGGGCCTAATGTGTGCACACAGTTGGTCAAAAAATTGTTTACTGAATGAATTAATAAGTAAATTATACAAGCCAATGAATATAATGCTATTGGGATGACTGGCCCACTGACTAGATGAGAAAGTCTTTTTCAGTAAAAGTTTTGTACATAGGGTAGTGTCTTTATGTCCAAAGAGAGTTGCTTTGTCAATCTTTGGGAAAAGCTTGAGGGTTTAAGAGGCAAAATAAAGCCTTCAGTTGGAGTGACTGGACCTCAGAGCTGGGCTTTGGAGAAACTCTCACAGAGACAGCAGATGAAGGCTGTGCACATCACCAGCTTGCCTCCTACTTCTCGTCACAAAACTTGCCCTTTGGGCCACATAGTATAGTTAGGTCCCATTGTTACCCCCTGATTCCCAAGGAACCAGTATATATTTACCCACCTGGACAAAGGCCTAAATTTGAGTTATCAAAATAGCGAACTGGATGGGGTACTGGAAAGGACTTCGACCGGCTGTCAAAAAACCGATATTTTGGTGATTCCTTTGGCACGGGATCTTGTAAATTCTGCTCCTTGCACTGAGAAGGCGTACGGTGTCTCTTTTCAGAAGCTGTTCTTTTTGGAGTCCTTGGAGAATTCTCACAAGTTACATCTTTGAGAGCCTCATTGGAAAGATGATTACTGCTTAAATGGGGAGGGGAGGAGGAAGAAGGAGGAGAAGAAAACTGTTAAAAGACTACAACAAACAAGATTCCTAATTTGGGTTCCCTTATAGAGCTTGAGTAGCTGTGGAGGTCATCCTCCAATTATTATACATCGAGGATACCACCCAAACTTCCCCAGAATGATCTATAATGACCTGTGGAATCTGGCACCTATGGCACCTCACCTTGCATTTGTCTCATTCTCTATGCTCTGGCCACGTGGATGTCTTCAGTTCCACTTGCTGGTTATTCTTTCTCACTCACAGCTTGTGCACATGCTGGCCTAGGAAGCTTACCTGTCTCTCCTTTCATCCAGCTCAATTTGTATTCATTTTCCAGATCTACTCATAGATTAGTTTCTTGATCACCAGCCCTCTTTATCATTTAGATAAGGCTTGATTCCTCTGGTAAACGCTTTCATTTGTTTAACAACACTCATTAGAAAGAATTAGTTATTTGTGTAATTATTTGTTTGATGCCTACTTTTATTCTACTATATCATTAGTAGACTAGAGGCCTGGTGCACGAAACTTTGTGCATGGGGCGGCAGGGGGGGACCTCTCAGCCCAGCCTGTGCCCTCTCACAGTCTGGGACCTTACTGCCCACCTGCAGCAGAGGCGGTAGAGGATCTCACCACCACCACTGCACTTGCCAACCGTAAGCCCGGCCTCTGGCTGAGCAGCGCTCCCCCTGTGGGAGCACACTGACCACTAGGGGGCAGCTCCTGCATTGCGTATCTGCCCCCTGGTGGTCAGTGTGCATCACAGCGACTGGTCGTACTGCCATTTGGTCGTTTTGCATATTAGGATTTTATTATATAGGATTAGCATGGCATTCTAATCTCTGATAGAAGCCAAATAAGGCTGGGATCGGTTTGGCTCAGTGGATAGAGCGTCGGCTTGGGGACTGAGGGGTCCTGGGTTCGATTCCGGTCAAGGGCATGTGCCTTGGTTGCGGGCATATCCCCAGTGGGGGGTGTGCAGGAGGCACCTGATCGATGACTCTCTCTCATCGATGTTTCTAACTCTCTGTCTCTCCCCTCCTCTCTGTACAAAATCAATAAAATATATTTAAAAAAAAAGAAAAAAAAAAAAGAAACCAAATAAGTTTGTTAGAACTGTTTGTAAAGTAGGTTACAATAATGGCCCTAAGAAGTCTATTGAGTAAATCCTCATGACTTTGGCATATGGACATGTAGTGTATTTAAGCTGCCCCCTCAAAGATCTCTGTTCACATCTTGGTTCTTGGGTTGGTCAAAAAGAGGTCAGTTGACAGACAGTAAACATCTGAAATAGTGTTACCATATTCTTATTCCTTTTAAAAAGGACACATTACATGAACTCTAAAAATTACTTTCCCCATATCTGAAGGGTTGTTAACTGCAAAAAACATATGTATGGGTATATACTGTCCTCCCCAACATGTAACAGCTATAAACATAATTTCTGTATCATGTAAGCAGCTCTTACCTTAATGGTTCATTCTTTTGGTTTATTAGCTGTTCATTATGCTGCTTCAACTTAGAAATCTCCTTTTTCAGTCGTACATTTTCACTTTTCAAAATAAGAGCTTTTGTGCTTTGAACAATGCCACTGCCACCCCCACATGTGAGGGGTTTGTTGGAAGGTTTAGAATCATTAACTTCTAGTACCACTGTGGGAGGCAAATAAAGGAAACATTACTAAATGCAGTAAGTCATTCTAAAACCCAACACATCTCAACCACCATCTCCCTGAAAATCATCCTTGAGTTCCTCCTTCTACCTGACTCCCAATGCCTATTCCACCATCAATTCTAAATATCTCTAGAATTCTTCCTGCTGTTCTCCACTCACCAATTTTGCTACCATAATCCTGCTGAAGCCTTTCCCCAGGACTGCAGCAGCAGCAACCCTCTCTAATTAGAGCTGTCCTCCGCTGATCTGTTTCTGAATCACCTGCGGGGCTTCTTCCAACAGAGTATGTGTGTGGGGCCCACCCCAGCCACCCAGTGCATTATAAATACTCAACACATACTAGTAAACTAAACAAACCTTAGAATTATGTTAAAGCACAGATTATTCTATTTGTATATACTATATGTATTAAAAAAGGTGGTATGAGAAATTGTTTTGTAAATTTTAGGTAAAACTGCATAAAAATGTGAGTAGCTTTAAAAGTATTATAGAATAGTCCACTAAATCACTGATAATTACAAAGGGGGTAAGGTGTGAAGATACTCAATGTCCATTTTCTTTTGAATTATTTTGAATTCAGGCACAAGGTGTACTGAAAATCACTTAGTATTCAAGAATCATTATCCTGACCCTAATGTAACAACAAAGAGTCCTCAGTTCTATTTTTACCCCTTGAAGTTTCCCATGTAAGAACTGCAAATAGGCAGTAGGGTCATTCAAACTAAATTATGTACTAGACAACATCTTTAACACTATCTCTAATTTCTTTTTTAAATAAATGTTTGTTACACACAAATATCTTACATTTGCTTGACATTTAGAATATTCAGTGTGCTTTCACACACACTTTTAGTGTGATTCTTGCAACATGTGTATACACATATGCTAGAAGGTCAGGTGTGGTCCCTTCGATTTCTCACAGCCATTAAGTGGGGGCAATCAGTTGAGACCTTCCCCTGACTTTTAGTTCATTGCTTGTTCTATTATACGAAGCTGCCCTAAGTACTGTTCAGCATTCTCTTGGAAGATGAAACACAAGAAATAGGGATATGGAACAAAGAATAGTTTGAGGAATGTATATGCAGAAATTTGATCCTTAGATTTGATAACTATACCTAAGATAAATTTTAAAAATTTACGAGTATTTTCAGTATTAAGAACAAGTACGATAATATATACTTATTTGTATTATGCACTGATTTTATTTTTACTGTGTATAATATTAAAATCTATTAAGATGTGTTTGGATTTTTATTGGGAAGGGTGCTTCTATCTTGATAATTCAAGAATCTATAATGAATGAACAGCTGACATTATAGGAGATGTCAGAAATATAATTGCAATAAATTCATTTTAAAAGCAGTTCTTTCTAAACTAGTGATTTATTCTTGACTATAACATATATAATAATAGTCCTCAAAATGTATAAGTGTATTGAGAAATAAAATGGACAGGGACTGGAAATATCAGCATTTTCTACTTACTTGTGGTATCTTGGGCTTGTTGACTTCTTCTAAGATTTTCTCTCAATAACCTTATAGCTTCTTTTTGATATTCTACAGTGGCTTTTGTAGAAGCAATTCTAAGAAAAACAATAAATATTAAGGTTAATCACACTGACATAATACTCTGGTATCATGTACTTTGCAGCTATAATACCATCAAATTGGAAGTATCCTGTCTGGTTTCAGGGGTACTGACTTAACATTGAGAAACCGATCTTTTAAAATATATTTTATTGATTTTTCACAGAGAGGAAGAGAGAGGGACAGAGAGTTAGAAATATCGATGAGAGAGAATCATCGACCAGCTGGGGATGTGCCCGCAACCAATGTACATGCCCCTGACTGGAATTGAATCCGGGTCCTTTCAGTCCGCAGGCCGACGCTCTATCCACTGAGTCAAACCGGTGCCGGCGAGAAACTGATCTTTTAAATTTCTGGAAGCTCAATAGCTATTAATTGGATATTGAGCAAAATCATATTGAAAGGCACTAATAAAATAAGTGGACTGTTACTATGAGGTCCTCAAAATATCTTTTATTTAAAAAAAATATATTTTATTGATTTTTTACAGAGAGGAAGGGAGATAGAGAGCTAGAAACGTTGATGAGAGAGAAGCATTGACCAGCTGCTTCTTGCACACCCCCTACCGGAAATGTGCCCGCGACCAATGTACATGCCCTTGACCAGAATCGAACCTGGGACCTTCCAGTCCACAAACCGACGCTCTACCACTGAGCTAAACCCGTTTCAGCAAAATATCTTGAAGGTAAAATAATTACCAGAGCCTGAAAGTGAAAAGTAGTTTCCTTTCTACATTGTCAACAAATAAACCCTGGGCTGTTAAGGTGATGCAGTAAAAGGTCAAATTCTGCTCACTGTTCTCTAATAGAAAGAGACACTTTATGAATTGTGGGCTTAAGATTAACCAGTAATGATAAATGATAAGACTTTCTGCCTTTTTTTAGAGACTGAAAGTATCTGCTGATTCTATTCTCTAAGTAAAATTGCTTTGTTTTTTAAATCATTTTGATTTAATGAAGAAATGACTCTGTATTAGTTTCATTGAAACCAGTAGTGTTATATCAATGGAAGGCTGATTAGAATGCATAAAAAGGCCATTTTAAACTATTACTGTGAGATTAAGCAAGAAGCATCCAAAGACATAGTGTGCTAGTAATTGATCAGATTTGTGCTTACTTTTTAAAATCTTTGCATATATAATGAGAATTTAATTAATTAAAACCATGTCGATGTTTGTATTAATTTAAAAAAGCTATTACAACAGTATTTTCAAAAGTTAATGCAAAGAAACATATCATTTGGAAAGAAAATTTAAGGTATTAAAGTCATGTTTAATTAAGGCAAAGACATACTCCTTTTCAAGCTCCTTGACAATTTTCTTATTCTCTAGATCTGTTTTCACCAGTTTCATTTTGAGATCTTCAATTTCTTCTTTATAGGGTTTAGCTCCTAAAGAAACTTTGTCCTTTTTTTAGAGAAAAGAAAAATAAAGTAAGTTTAGTGCAATTTCACTTTATTGGTAGAAACATTTTCAAACAGCAAAACTCTACATACATGAAAAATGGGAAAGGCACAAATTTGAACCTAAAATGAGTAACAGATATGTGATGTGAAGTATATTCGAAGCTATTGAAAACTTGTACGTAGAGAACATATGAAGAATTTTATTTCTTAAAACAAATTATTTCCCCAATTAAAAAACAGTACTACAAAATGAAACACAAAAGTTGAAAATAAAGAAATAGGTAGACAAATGAAACAAAGTCATGAAAATGAAATAAAAAAAGATATCAGAAAATATAAAACTAGAACTGAATTAAAGGCACAAAGTATTATGCCTTGTATTCATATATGGTTCAATCCAGTGACATAAATATACCTACTTTCCACTCAGAAACAAATTATTCATATATAAATGCATATACAGAATTCTCTTTTAAATGAATAATGTCAGCTTGAAAAATGTTAAATAATGAAAAGAACACACATCCCTTTTTTGTTGTTGCTGTTAATCCTCACCTGAGGATATTTCTCCATTGGTTTTTAGAGAGAGTGGAAGGGAGGGAGGGAGATAGAGAAATATCCATGTAAGAGAGACACATCAATTGGTTGCCCCCCATGAGCCCCAACCAGGGCCGGGATTGAGCCTGAATTGAACCCAAAACCCTCCAGTCTATGGGCCAATGCTCTATCCACTGAGCCAAACCAGCAAGGGCAGAGCACACATTTTTTTACTTCTTTCTAATTTTAACTGGAATGACAAGACACTGGAGCCAGAATAGCAAACTTAAGTGTCTATAAGGGTCAGAATCAAGTAGCAAAGTATAAGAAGTAGCTGGGGCTAAAACAAGAGAGTGGGGTAAGGATGTGATAAATGAGGGTGTGCTGTGTAATGGAATTCAAGTTAAACACTGAAACGACTGTTATTCCTAAAGAAAATAGGTCAGATTCAGCCCATAGTCTATTGGCTAATAGGTGGACTCAATAACTAGGGCATTAAAGTAGAAAATATTTTCCACCCCCAAATGTACTTATCTTATAAGGAGTGTTAAATATTAAGATAAGAAGCATTTTTATAAAGTGAACATACATCTTAAACTATTAAAAATATCTATATGTCTTTTACAATTTTTTCTAAAAAGATATAATCATTGTTATATTCCTGTATTTCATTTCTAAGTTGTTACTTGCTTTTTCAAAGCCTAAGTATTGAACTTGAGACATATCTAACTAACAGGAAGTTGAAGTAAAAGCCTGGGTTCCCAAATGATCTGCCAAATTCAACAATAAAAGGAAACAAACAAACAAACCCCTTTTATTTATAAACTAGAGGCCTGGTGCACAAAATTCGTGCACAGGGAGAGTGCCCTTCAGCCCAGCCTGCACCCTCTCCAATCTGGGACCCCTCAAGGGATATCCAACTGTCTGTTTAGGCCTAATCCCACCAGGACCAGGATTGGACCTTAATAGGCAGTTGGTCATCCCTCTCACAATCCAGGACTGCCGGCTCCCAACTGCTCACCTACCTGCCTGCCTGATTGTCCCTAACCACTTCTGCCTGCCAGCCTGATCACCCCTAACCACTCCCTGCCAGCATGATCGACGCCTAACTGCTCCCCTCCCGGCCTGATCATCCCAAGCTGCCCTCCCCTGCCAGCCTGGTCACCCCTAACTGCCCTCCTCTGCCAGCCTGGTCTCCCCTAATTGCTTTCCCCTGAAGGCCTGGTTGCCACTAACTGTACTCCTTTGCAAGCCTGGTCACCTCCAACTGCTCTCCCCTGCCAGCCTGATCACCCCCAACTGCTTTCCCCTTAAAGGCCTGGTTCCCCCCAACATTCCTCCCCTGCAGGCCTGGTCCCTCCAACTACTGCCCTCTACTGCAGGCCCAGTCCCTCACAAATGCTGTCCCCTGAAGGCCTGGTACCTCCCAACTCCCCTCCCCTGCTGGCCTTATCGCCCACAACTGCCCTTCCCTGGGAGCCATCTTGTGGTGGCCATCTTTGACCACATGGGGGCAGCCATCTTGTGAGTTGGAGTCAATTTGCATATTATTGTTTTATTAGATAGGGTTTGTGAAGTTACCTGAAGTTCTTGGGTCATTTCTTTTGTTTTCTCAAGGCATTTATTTGATTCCTTAACTTGTGCTTGAAGTTTTGCTATCATATCATAAGTCATCTGAAGTTCTTTCTGCATCTTTATAATCATGTCTTCCTTATGTATAGCACTTTCTTTAGCTTCATGCAGTGAAGCTTCCAGCTCTTGAATTTTCTACCAAAAAGAGGGACATATATGGGAAAATTGCAAAAACAAGAAACTAGGCCATAAACACACACTACACATAAGAATAAACTCAAAATGAATAAAAGACTTAAGTATAAGTGATGAAACCATAAAGAACCTAGAAGGAATTATAGGCAATAAAATAGACATCTTGAATAATATTTTTGCCAATATATCTCATAGGGCAAAAGAAACAAAGAAAAAATAAACAAGTGTCATTACATCAAACTAAAAAAGTTCCGCACAGCGAAAACAAAAACAAAACAAAAACAACAGTAACAAAACACCCCATAAAAAAACAGCAACAAAATGAAAAGGGAATCCACTGTGTGGGAGAACATATTTGCCAATGATACATCTGATAAGGGGTTAATTCCCAAAATATATAAAAAATTTACACAACTCGCCCCACTGGCTGGCTCAGTGGTTGAGTGTCGATCTGTGAATGAGGAGGTCACAGTTCGATTCTGGTCAAGGCACATGCCCAGGTTGCAGCCTCCCCAGTGTGAGGCGTACAGGAGGTAGCCAATCAATGATTCTCATTATTGATGTTTTTATCTTTCTCTCCCTTTCCCTTCCACTCTGAAATCAATTAAAAAGAAAAAAGGAAAAAAAAAAATATATATATATATATATAAACTTATACAACCCAACACCAAGAAGACAATCCAATTAAAAAATAGGCAAAGGATCCAAATAGACACTTCTCCAAAGAGGATGTACAGATGGCTAATAGACATATGAAAAAATGTTCAACGTCACTAATCATCAGAGAGATGCAAATTAAAACCTCATGCCTATCAGAATGGTTATCATCAATAAATCAAACAAGCCTATGACACACACACAAACACAAAGATTGGTCCATGTTCCTTAATTAATATATTCAATACTATAATTCTGCTCTGAAATGTTACATGAGATACATCTTTAACTTTATGATGAAACTGCAAATTGAAAAATATTAAAAATTCACATACCTCTGTGATTGGCTGTGTGACTCTCGATGTAACATGAAAATTCTTATCGTCTTGTGTAGTAGGATTAGCAGGGGCACCAGGTGTCTGAGAGAGCTTCAAAGTTTGGTAGATTTTAAACAGTTTTTCATTTTCCTCTCTCACTAATTTCAGGTCAAGTTCCCATTCTTTGGCTAGAGTAGCATTTCTTTCCTCAAATTCTGTTGATTCATTTACTATAGTCTATTGAATAGTAAAAATGCCATTATAGTTCTAAAGTGAATTGCATACTTAAAAGAAAAAAAAAAAAACCTATGAAAAATATTAGAATTCTAGGACAAGGTACTAGTATATGTTGAAATTCATTTTCTAAACATTCTAGAACAGTTTGTCAAGAACATAAAAGAATGTAAACATTCTTTTTTATTTTTAATGTTTTTATTGATTTGAGAGAGAGATAAAGGGAGGGGGGAGGGAGGGAGAAAGGAGAGAGGGAGGGGGAGAGAGTGGGTAAGTGGGAGAGAGAGTGAGACTTTTTAACTATCCATTTAATAGTATCTATATATTTCAATGTAATTTAGTTTCCAGATGAAATCAAAGTGTTAAGAACTACCCAAACACATGAAATTAAAAAACCAATCTTAAAAGCTACATACTCTAGCACTAATTTGCTCTAATCCTATCTAATAAGGAGGGAATATGCTATATGACCATCACACCCTCACAAAGATGGCAGCCGATAAGGAGGGAATATGCTAATATGCTAATTGCCACATCTTCAAAGATGGTGGCGCCCACAGCCACAAGATGGTGGCACCCAGTCCCCTCAACCCAGCAGGGGCAGCAGGTGTGTCTGGCCACTGCACATGCCTGCCTCCAGAGTTCCGAGCTCCTCAGTCCCCCAGCTGCCCAGGGCTGGTCCGAGGCACAGGCAAGCCTCAGATGGTGGCTGCCCAGCTGATGCCTGAGATGCAGGCAAGCCTCGGATGGCAGTTCCCCAGCTGCCCAGGGCCGCTCGAGGCTCAGGTAACCAGGGGCCAGCTGAGGCCTGCGCTGCCAGCAGTGGCAGCAGCAGAGGTGTGATGGGGGCATCACCTTCCTCTGATTGCCAGGTTGCTCCTGACCCTGAGGGCTCCCAGACTGTGAGAGGAAATAGGCCAGGCTGAAGGACCCTCCCTCAATTTTCATGCACTGGGCCTCTAGTTGCATATATAAGAAGCAACTTTCTGATTATTACATGTTTTATTATAATGCTGCTTTTTGAACTAGTCCCTGTAGTTCAAAAAGCAGCATTAATAGTCTGATCAGTGTGGGGAGAATAACAAATTAATAAATGATCTTAAGCAAGGCTGGTTCTTATGAATCAGTTTACAAGGCTGATCAACTTGGGAACAAGGATACAGACTACATTTTTAAACCTCAAGTTGAAGGACAGAGCATAAGAAAGTGACCAACTAAGTGAAAAGCACATGAGGCCTCACTAGAGCTTTCCAGACTGTCACACCTCACAACAACTCACACCTCACTGTGTCTGAGGCTACTTAGGGAAAGGGCTCAATTCCTACAGAAGCAGTGAAAAGTGAGAAAGGAAAGGAGAGTGACAAGAGGATTCACAATTTCACAAGTGGAAAGTGATCATCACATACCCATGTTTTGTTATTTTCTTTATAAGTATAAATCGGTATATTTTATCTTAAGAAAGCATGTTAGTGGAAGAACATGTTTTACATAGTCAATATATATATTTTTTTTTTTACAAAAAAGTGAAAGAAAACATACTTAAATATCCAGTTGCTCTGAGTCCTTTTAAGAATGAGGTAGAAAAATTTTAAAGCACACAACAAAAAGAATGAGGAAGCATAATAAAAATTACTACTTACAATTATTCTGTTATTATATAACTTATTCACTTGAAAAATCCTATCGTTTTCTTTCTGGATGCCACTTTTAAGCTTTTCTATATCAAAATGAGTATTCAACCATTCTTCCAAAAAGTGGGTTATTTCTTTCCTATTACTGAGTACTTGTTGAAATTCAGTCTTTATGATGTGGTAATCACTTTCTGAAAAATCTTTGAGAATTTCCTGTGTTAAAAAGTAAGCAATGAATTGTATAAACATTGGGGGAAGTTTTTATCGAACTATCACACAAATATCATAAAAAAAGGAAAATACCTTACTGAACTCTCACTCTTGATATTTTTGAAGTAAATATAATTCTTGTTATTCTAATTATATTAGAAATAAAATTCTAATCTCAAACTTTATCCTAGTTATTTGAATAATAAAGATTTGGCAGTATAAGTTATGTAACAGAAGCATGACCACAAATTCTGCCTAGTAGAATTAAAACCTGTCAAAACTATAAATCTGTGACTAATAATAATACGTCAAGTGCTTCTTGATATAAGTTTTCTTTGCATATAGCAGGACATACATGCATGTTAGGAATTAGATGCTAGCTTCACACTTCTGGCTGAGAGCAAACATTCCATGTGCAGCTGTTGCAATAAAAATATTTCTGACTCCTAGTCATAGGTCTGGGAAGTGTTAGACAGCATTTAGAAACTTATTCTGGGGTTCCACAAATTCCCACTTGCTGATATTGTTAAAGTTGTCTGTATCAGCCGAGTTCTGAAAGGAGGCTCCTTTATTACTTGGTACTCTCTTAGATCTGGCCAGCTGGTATTCTGTAGCTTATTTTTAATATTTGATAAATGAAAATACCTCTAAGCACATGAAAAGGCACCTTTCTACTTGCTAAAAAAAAAGACTTAACATCTAATTAAATCCATTTAAAATAAATTATACCTGAATATGTAGATCCACCTTCTTGCTCAATTTGAGGTCCCTTAATTCTTTGGATGATACATCATAACCTTGTGGAAGATGCTCAAGTTGACTTATCAGCTCATTTTGTTTTTCCACTTCATCAATGAAAACCATTTCAAATTTATTGATGGATTCATGCTGTTCTTTCTTTATCATTATAACATTGCTTAAAGCATACTTGAAGAAAAACAGACATTGGGAAATTAAACTTATCTCACATTTAAACTAGGTTTTAAACCCTCAAGACTAAAGGTGGGATGGCATCTCGTTATCTATATCCTCTGACAAGTGAGGAAAAAGGAACGAGCCTCTCTCTGTCCTCAATTTTCTCCTCTCAGCATCTTGGAAGAATTACTTCTGGGTCCTTATTTCTGACTTCCTACTGAATATACCTTGTTGTTATCATGAAATACCCAATTCAATGTTTAAATGGTAACATGATTTTTCCTTCCTAAAAATACAACTTTCTTTATTGGCTCCTTTTAATTAATTATATCACAAATCACCCAGGTTTTCAAGCTAGATACCTGATAATTAATTTTCAACATTCAATTCTGCCTATCTTGGTTTGGTAATTAGTATGGGTGTGCCATGCCTCAAAACTTCCTTGTCAAACATATTTAGATGTTTGACTTCAAGGTGACAATAATTAGAATGTCATGGTCCATGGACTTCAGAATAAATTCTGGATATCTGATAGTCAGGATTTGGGAAAGACTATCAGAACTCGAGGGGCAATTTAACCAAATAGAGACACTTGCTCCCTATTTCCTCAACTTCCACATTCCTTAACTTATAATTTGGCCTCTTCCTTAATTAATCAACTAAAACTGCTCTGACAAAGGTCCCAATGAGCTCTATTATCAACAAATTGAGGGGACCTCTTCAGTTCATATTCTGGCTGCTGAGTTATTTGACTTACTCTCCTTCACTGTCCTGAGTGATAGCACTTCCGTTTGGTTCTCTCCTGTCTCACTTTTCCAACCTTGATCCCATGTGTTGCTTTCTCTTTTCTGTTACAGCTCTTGAAAATTTATCTTTTCCCAAGTTCTCTTTTTATCTCAAACCTTTTATTCCTATACTAGAATTCATGGAACACAGTGCATGAATTCCTGCACTGGTGAGATCTGGCTGGCCCACCCTATGGGGGTCTATCAGGCCGGACCAGTGCAGGGGAGGGGCCTCAGGTGATTGGCCAGTCGGCCCTGCCCCCCGATCAGGGTATTGGGGCCAACTGGAGGGATGGGCTGTTTGGGGCTGGATCAGTCCAGTTGACTGCTGCCGTGCGCATCATAGCCACTGGTCATTTCGGTCATTCTGGTTGTTCTGCAATTCTGGTCCCTGGGCTGGGCTTTTATATACATTGATTATGCTTTCTGGGTGACCTTACACATGTTATATTATCCATCACAAACATGCTGATGAATCCCAAATCTTTATCTTTAGTCCTGACTCTTCTCCTGACAAACTTCAGACTTACAGCTAAATGCTGTGAGCCTTGAGGCAAAAACAAAACAAAACAAAACAAAAAATCCCCCCCCAAAACACCTCACCTACTAAGGAGGGCTCCTAGTGGCTAACTGGGCTCAAATAAATTTTAAAAAGTAAAGCCTAGCAGCCATATTTACACAGGGTTCTCTCATGCAAATTGCATTTCATGAAGAAGCCTACACTGAATTGCCTGGCTCTGCACTGCAGGACCTGTTTCTGCACTGTGTTTCAGCCATCTGAGCCAGTCCTTATAAAGGAGTTCCTGGAATCCCATTTCAACCCAAAGGACTGAGGCTTTCCCTATCAGCTGTGGGGTTTCAGCCAGAGTGGTTCTATTCTAATAGGACAGTGCCTTTTGGACCAATCAAACTGTGAGGATTTGGAGTCCTCATGGTTATGAGGACTAATCAGAGAGAGGGGTGGGAACTTCTGCCCATGTAGGCCAACTCTTCGCTGGCTCTGAGAGAATACTTCCCCTTTCCCCGGAAGCCTGAAGCCTGCCTCTCCCTGGCTGAGCTGAAACACTGAAGATATCTTGCTAGAACAGAGTGGAGCAGACCAACACAATGCAGGGTGGAAGAGTAGGGAGCAGAGCAGAGCTTTCACAGCTATGCTATATCTATCACAATTGAGCTGAATAAACTTCCTTCTTCACCACACCCAAAAATGGGGACTCCATTGGCACTGAATTGGCGCCATTGACCACTGGTTGACAATGCCTAGTGGGTTTCTCTTCTTAAAGGTCCCATGATAACATCTCAAAGTAAACACTTGATCTTGCTCTCCTGCCTCATTCCCATTCCTCTTTCCACTACTCACAAACTTGGCTAAACTCAAATCCTGGGATACAATCTCAACTTTTCTCGCTTACCTCCACTATCAAACAGACTGTGATTTTAAACTAAATATTTAATTTATTTCATCTCTTCTATCCCTATAGAATCCCTCATTAGTAGTTCTGCCACCCAAAAACATCCCATCTGACAACTGTTTCTTGGCTCTTTTTTCTGCCACTAGGCGTATCCCTTGCAAACTCACTTCTTTATCTGTAGTGAAGCATCTAAAATGGCAATCTAATCACATTACTGTCAACACTTAAGATAACTGTTCAGTGGCTCCCCATTATCTGCAAAATGAACTCCATCAAAGCTTCATTGAACAAGTCTATCTTCCACTACGGTCTTACCTTCTTTAACTTTTTTCCTAGTATGTCATATAACCTGCACATACTTCTATCATTACACTTACTACTACTATCTGTCTGTATATCTGCCTCACCCACTAGGCTATGAAATATTTGAGATGTTACTCATACCTGTGTCTAGGCCCATAGGCAGAGCTCAGGTTTTACTGAATGACCAGGTTTTGGTACACTGAGAATCTTGCACACTATTTTTGGACCCATGTAATCTTTAATTCAGACAGAAGTACATATACTAAGAAGCAAATGTGTCAACTCACAAAGGGTGGACTTAAATACAATGAAGTTTTTAACCAAAATTAATAGCAATATTTAGAAAGATATTACTAAAAGGTGTTACCTTTAGATTCTTCATGACTCTGTGGAATTCCATGGAACACCTTTGGTTTACAGTGAGAAGTTTTTGAATCTCTTTGGTTTGTGGAAATGGAAGTGAGAGGTTTGCTTTTATTTTAACTGAAAGCTGTTTTTGGGCTTCAATTTCCTTCTCCAAGTCAAGAGACAATCTATGTAAGAATTCATAATGGTTATCCATCTCTGAGTATCTCTTCAGAAGCTCCTAAAGGAAATTAGAATTCATTCAACTTAACAAATGATTCTAATTTAACAATAAGTAGTTCTAGCCCTAGAATTAAAACAAAAGTAGCAGAGTAATAAATTAAAACCACCGTGATTAAAACAACAACAAAAGGAAACTGATATTATTGATTTTGGATTATAGAAATAATACATAATTATTGTGAAAATAAAAAAATTTAAGCAAATACAACAAAGAAAATCAGAATTAACAATTTTTAACATTTGATATTTTCTTTTAGTCTTCCATGATTCGAATAAGCATTTACAAAGTCTGAGGAGAAATTTAAGTGAATTCAATGTTGTAGTATATATTGTAGCTCAAGGCTGAATGCTGGGTCATGTTTACCATGGCAGTATGAGGTAGCAGATAAAACAAGTAACTAAGAATCAAACTAGCTATATAGCCTCTTCAGACCTTTGTATTTGCCTAGAATCTGAGTTTTCTAACATTTTGTCAGAGTTCAGGTTCTAGCTCTGCCACTTTCTGACAGGGAAAATCATTGAGACATTTATCAACCACAAAATAAAAGACTACAATAACTGCCACGAAGTTTCCTATGTGAATCAAGTTAATATTTCAACCTATATCGATATAATCTATAAAATATGTACACATTACATGTTAAAGGAAACAAAATTATATTTATAAAAACACCTCAAAACCCAAGCTTTAAACTTCATCAGATCTGGCTTCAAATCCTGATTCTACCAACTTACTAGCTATGGTGGAATTAAATGTGTGAAAGAACTAGCTATGTGATCTTAGAAAACTACTAAACTTCCTCTCTCCACCTTCGCTTCTTTGTATATAAGTGAAGCAATACAACCTATCTCATGAGGTGAAGCACCAAATGTAGTGCCTGGCATGTGGTAGACACTCAGTAAGCTTAGGTCCATCAGCTCAAATGACTCACAAGTGGCAAGGAGGGTGACATAGTAGACTGAGTGTAAGTGGAGGGACACAGTAAGTTTAAGTTGACACAATCATAAACTAGAGACCCGGTATATAAATTGTTGCACAGGTGGGATCTAGCCAGCCCACCTTGATTGGGATTGGGCCCGGCCAGGGAGAGGGACCAAAGGCAGTGGACTGGCTAGCCTTCCCTCTGGTTGAACTCCCAGTCAAACTCCTTGTTGAGGGGACAATTTGCATGTTGGCCTTTTATTATACAGAATAACCATTTAGTTCAGAGCACTAAATAATAGAATAAGGGGCTTCTGACAATAGTGAGCTCTTTTTTTCCCCCCCTCATAATTTAAAGAAAAAAAAGTAGATAAGATATTCACTAATCTGGTATGCTGGAGAGGTGATTCCTGCCTTTGACCTTAGGATAAATCACATTATGGTATGGAGCAGTCATTCATTTGTACTTTTAATAGACACATGTTGACAGGAAATGAGTTTAAAAGGAGCACATAGAAATCAGAGAGAACTAAGAGTGAACAGAGGAAACAGAGAGAAAAAAAAAGAGAACAGAGAAAGCCAAAAAGGAGAAAAAATAGAGAAGAGAGAGAACAAGAGAAAAAAGAAAAAACAAAGGAGATGAAGATAAAGAGAATAAGTTGAAAACAGAGGAAAAAAAGACAGAACAAAAAGAAAATGCTGAGAAGAACTGAGAAAACAAAGAGAAAGAAATGAGGACAGAAAAAGAAAAGAACAAAGAGAGAAAAGAAAACAAAAGATATTAAAGAGAACAAGAAAAAATACAGCAAATACAACAAAGAAAATCAAAGGGAAAACATAGAAAAAAGAAAAAAAAATAAGAGAAAGAGAAAAAACAACAACAACAACAACAAAAAAAAACAAAGCAAAGAGACATAACCCAGACACCAGATAAGAGAACAAACAGAACAAAAAGTAAAAGAACAAAATGAGAGAACCAAGAAAATAAAAAGAACAGAGAAAACAGAGAGCAGAGAATAAAGAAAGAACACAGAACACAGAGAAGAGAAAATAGAAAATGGAGTGACGAGAACAAAAAAAGAGACCAAAGAGAGAGAGGAAATAGAAAATTGAGAGAAAGTAAAAATATATAAAACAGAAAAATGGAGAGAACAAAGTGAAAAGAGGGAACAGAGAGAACACCAACAACAAAAACTAAGGGGAAATAAAGAACAAAGATAAAAAAGAAAACCCGAAAGAACAGAGAAAACAATACAAAGAAAGAACAAAACAAGAGGGAGAAAGATACATATTGAATGCTAACTCCCATTAGGGATGTGCTAAACAGAAAACAAGTCTTCAGTGATTTTGCATTCTAATAGGAGTAATGGAAAATATGATTGGTTTCAATATCTCCAAACAGTCCTCACTTCCATTGCTACCAAGCCACTATCTGCCTGGATTACAAATGGCCTTCCTGCTTCCACTCTATGTTCAACACAGCAGTGAGAGTCACCTCTTCAAATGTAAGTCAGATTATGTCTCTCATGTGGTCAAAAGTCTGCAAAGGATCTCCATCTCTCTCAGTCTTTTTAAAACTCCGTCTTTTTAAAGCCCCACAGCCTGCCTCCTCCCCATTAACTCTCTGACCTCATTTCTTACTATTTCTGCCTTCCTGATGCTCCTGGGACCCACAGGGCAGGCTCTGCACAGGAGCTTTGTACTTGTTCCTCCTGCCTACTCTGGCCCAGCAGGTACCTGAATGGCTATGGCTCCATCCTTCACCTCTTTCAGGTATTTACTCAAATGTCACCTTTCCAGTGAGGCCTTAAACCAGAAGCCCCACTGCTTTTTGTTTATATATGAAATATGCACACCTATATGCCTGCACTAGAAAGTTTAGGAACATATTGACCATTATCTTTCATTCCACAGACAAACTATTTTCAACGTTTTTCATCTCATGGCACACATAAACTATTAAAATTCTATGGCTCACCCTAAGTATATGTTTTTGCCAAATCCAGCAACAAACAACAACAAAAAGGTATACTTTTGATTCATTCACAACCGATTGTTGTGCTGGCTATTGTCATTTTTTTAAATTTTTATTTAACAATCTAAGGGAAAAGAGGTCAGTATTCCTGACTAGTCAGGTATTACATGTTTAAAAATTAAAAAACAACAACACACATCTGATTTTAGAGAGAGGGAGGAAGAGGGAGACAGAGAGAGAGATTGAGGTGGGGAGGAGGAGGGTAAAAGATATATATTGATTTGTTGTTCCACTTGTTTATGTATTCACCGGTTGATTCTTATATGTGCTCTGACCAGGGATCGAACCTGCAACCTTGGTGTATCGGTACGACATTCTAACAAACTGAACTACCCAGCCAGAGCAGGTATTGCATGTTTTAAAAATTCTTGCGGCACACTGCTTGAAAATCGCTGCCATCGACCTCTGCAGGGTACAGATATTCATTTGTAAACAGGGGGCACTTACTTTTATCCTAAAGCACTTTTCTCTCAGGCTTTCTGTAGGGTGCTCTTTTTCATCACACAGTAACGTTTTTTCAGGTTTTACTATTTCTTTGTTGTTCTGTTGGTCCTGCATTGATACAAGGAAATAAGGTGTCAACTATGATTACAATCATAGGGAATGTCTACACATACTTTTTCAATTACGTATTATATATCAAGTTTCAATAATGGAATTAGCTCTGACTCCTTTGGCTCAGTGGATAGAGCATTGTTCTGCAGACTGATGGGTCCCGGGTTCGGTTCCAGTCAAGGACATGTACTTTAGTTGCGGGCACATCCCCAGTGGGAGGTGTGCGGGAGGCAGCTGATTGATGTTTCTCTCTCATGGATGTTTCTGACCCTCTATCCCTCTCCCTTCCTCTCTGTAAAAAATCAATAAAATATATATATATATATTTTTTTATATATATATATTTTATTGATTTTACACAGAGAGGAATTGAGAGGAACAGAGAGTTAGAAATGTCGATGAGAGAGAAACATCGACCAACTGCCTCTTGCACACCCCCCACTTGGGATGTGCCCGCAACCAAGGCACATGCCCTTGACCGGAATCGAACCTGGGACCCTTCAGTCCGCAGGCCGACGCTCTTTCCACTGAGCCAAACCGGTCCCGGCAATAAAATATATTTAAAAAAATAGAATTAAACATTATACCTTAGTTCAAAAGCAATGTTAAAAATGGACAGAAAATGAATACTAGCACTACTACATCTTATAGTGAGTGATCTCAACTCATTGGGGAAAAAATGGGAGAACCACATATTTTTAGGAGATAGAATACTTCACTTTTTTTGGTATTCATCTTGTTTAACTTTTTCTCATCTAACTTCATTAACAAGAGCCCATGTCTAAAACTCTTACGTAGAAGAAGTGAAATGGGATATTTAATCTTTTACAAATATAATCCTGCAAATTGAGAATAATACTATTTCCCTGTTTTGAAACCCTTTAAAAAACACTGTGGCTTTAAGAAAACCCCTGTATTTTCTATTTGTGTGAAAAATTATAGTAATAGTTTCCCGATTACCCTTTATTGTTTGTAGACATTTGCCGAAAAAAACAAAACAAAAAACCAACAACAACAACAAAACAAACCATTTCAAAAAAAGCTTGATTCTTATAGTTACTAGATAGGGGAAGATTCTGAACTCACTCTAGCTATTATCTTTCTTAAAGTTTCTCTGCATTGGTCTCTTTCCATTTTGAGAGACTCTTTTATCTTCCTTAGCTCATCTCTTTCCTTAGCTACAATTCTTATTTCTTCAAGGCTTTTATGAAGTTTCTTAGTCAAGTGTAAGTTATCCGTTTCCACACTTAGCATAGATAAATTTTGAGCCTCAAATTGTTTCTTCAATTGTTCCATTTCATTCACTTTTTTATGACTTATATTGATATCTTCTTTCATTTTAAGAAGTTGAAGCTCTTTTTTTTGAAGTTCTTGGATCTTGAGATAATTATAAAACAAGTTAGAATGCAATGAGAATCTCTTAAAAGAAGGAAACTAGTGTCTATTTGTTATATATGTGTATATATAATTATATATATATATATATAATTATATATACACATATATAATGTCTATATATCTATCTATATCTTTATTTCACAAATAATTTTGGTCACTCCCAAAAGAACAAAACAACACATACCTTTATCTGTAAATCATCTTTTGATTTATTAAGATCCTTTTGAATATTTGAGATCTGAGTTGTTTTTTCTGAAACACTTTCTCTGAATTTATCAATAGTTTCTTGGTGCTCTTTCAAATGAATACGAGCAATTTTTAATTCCTTTTGTGTTTCCAGATCCTTTATAATTAGAATTGAAAAATGACATAAAAAACATTACTTCTTCTTAATGAATTGGTTAAACAAAATCTTAAAAAATGCATGCTTATCATTAAAAACCACCACCATCCCACCACTACATTACAATAGTGCAGAAGGATCTAAAGTAAAAGTTCCACCTATTCCAGTCCTGTTCCCTGATAAACTCTGCCACTTATTTTTCACCTTTCATATTATTTGGACATCTCTCTAAATCACTATCTCATGCCCTATACTTATGCTTAGTATTCCATTACACAGATGAGCTCCATCTAGTGAGTGTCTTATGGGTAGACATTTGGATTACAATGTTGCAGTAAATGCTGCTGTTTCTGCCCAAAATGTGAGAATATACTGATGGATTAAATTCATAGGCGTGGAATTGCTGTAGCAAATACATATGCTAATACATTTTTAATAAGATATTATCAAACTGTCTTCATAAAAAATTATAACATTTACATTTGACTAACAGTATCATTTATTTTCAAAGAATGGAGCCTCTTATATTAAAAACATGTTTACTGGATGGAAAGGAGCACAACTCACTCTAACTATGGTTTCTTGCAGATTTGCCTTGAGCTGGTCTCTTTCCAGTTTGAGAGTTTCTTCTACTCTCCTTAGATGATCTCTTTCTTTCATTACAGATTTCATTTCTTCAAGGTTTTCATGAAGCTTCTGAGCCAAATTTAAATTCTCCATTTCTATTTTACCCAGAGTTACACTTTGGGCTTTGAATTGATTCTTTAATTGCTCCATTTCAGACATTTTCTTCTGCGTCTCACTGATTTCTTCTTTTAACTTTAAGAGTTGATGTTCATTTGCCGTAAGTTCTTGGATCTTAAGATGATCATAAAATAACATGTTAGCAGACAGATGGTTTTTAAGGGAAGGATAAAGAAGTTTCTAAATTATTTAGACAAGTTTTTCCATTTTGCTTTAATGAATACATAATTTCACACAGAAATTATTTTATTTTGAGGTATAAATAAGTGGTCTATTCTTAAGTGTATATATAGCTCAATTATTCTTAACATCTATATACTTACAACCCAGATTAAAATATAGGACGTTTCCAAAGACCTCTCCTAAAGTTGCTATGTATCCCATCCTACAACCATTATTCTGACACTTTTCTCATCCTAGATGAGTTTTGCCTGCTTTTGATGTTATAAATTAGTTCTTTCGATAGGTTTTTGCATTATTTTCAGTTTTTCCCTATTATGATTAACTGGCATTCTTTTTAATGAAAGTATTATATTTTCTTAGTAAAAATAATAAACTATTACTTCTCACTCTAACTAGTATTTTAAAAAAAATATATTATTGATTTTAGAGAGGTAGGAAGAGGGACAGATAGAAACATCAATGGTGAGAATCACTGATCAGCTGCCTCCTGCATGCTCTACTGGAGATCGAGCCCACAATCTGAGCACGGGCCCTGACCGAGAATCAAACCATGACCTCCTGATTCATAGGTTGACACTCAACCATTAAACCATACCAACTAGGCACGGTAACAATTATTTTTAAATGAAAGTAACATATTTTCTTAGTAAAAATAACAGAACTCTAATTCTTATTCTACATTTTTGTTAGGAAGTTAAAAGCTTTTCCCTCTTCTGTTCCCTCCCTTTCCCACAAACCTCTCCTTTCCAGAGGCAAACCCATTATGCACATACTATTTTACAACCTGCTTTTCTCACTAAGAGTTATTTTGGTATTCCCAATTAGGTCACTCAAATCTATTTAATTTTTTTCCTTTTACCTGTTGTATAATATTCTTGACACATCACTCATCTTTATCCAGTTTCCTACTGATTGACATTTTGGTTGTTTCCCGTTTTCTGTTACATACTGTTACAATGAACTACCTTGTGGTTTATGTGTGCATTTGTGTATGTGGTTTATGTGTGCATTTGTGTATGCTTCTATCAAAGAAGGGCTCACATTTCCTCACTAGGAAGAGGGATGAGTGTAACTTACTTTAGCTTCTACTTCTCTGAGGCTTTCTCTGAGCTGGTCTCGCTCCATTCTGAGGGTTCCCTCCATTCTCCTTAGGCTATCTCTTTCCGTAGCAACACATTTTAGTTCTTTAAGGTTTTCATTAAGTTTCTGAGTCAACTTTAATTTCTCTGTTTCTGTACTTTCCAAGATTGAATTCTGTGCCTCCAATTGCTTCTTTAATTGCTCTGCTTGATACATAGTTTCCTTGAGATCATTTTTTACCTCAAGAAGATGATGTTCTTTCTCCTGAACTTCTTGGATCTTGAAATAATCATACAATAAATTAAGATATAAATAGATAACAAAAGCTAAACATTAGTTTCTAAATTATGTAGACAAAATCTCTACTTGTCCTCAATTTTAGGCTAATTCATATCCTGTTTTACTATACCAGTGGTCGGCAAACTCATTAGTCAACAGAGCCAGATATCAAAGTACAATGATTGAAATTTCTTTTGACAGCCAAATTTTTTAAACTTAAACTTTTTCTTTCTTTCTTTTTTCTTTTTTTTTTTTTTTTAATATATTTTATTAATTTTATACAGAGAGGAAGGGAAAGAGATAGAGTTAGAAACATCGATGAGAAAGTCTTCGATCAGCTGCCTCTGGCACACCCCCTACCGGGGATATGCCCGCAACCAAGGTACATGCCCTTGACCGAAATCAAACCTGGGACTCTTCAGTCCCCAAGCCGATGCTTTATCCATTGAGCCAAACCGGTCCCGGCTAAACTTAAACTTTTCCTAACGCCACTTCTTCAAAATAGACTCGCTCAGGCCATGGTATTGTGTGGAAGAGCCACACTCAAGGGGCCAAAGAGCCTCATGTGGCTCGCGAGCCGCAGTTTGCCGACCACTGCACTACACAAAAGACTTGATTTAAAACTATTACATCGGAAATAACTTAAAGAAATACCTGTGCTTTTAAGGCACTATTTTTGTTTTCTATATCTATTTGCATATTTGATATTTCATTTGTTTTCTCAGAAACAGTCTTTCGGAGTACATCAATAATTTCCTCATGCTCCTTCAGATGTTTGTGAGCAATTTTTAGTTTCTCTTGTTTTTCCAGGTCCTTTATTATTAGAGAAAGAAAAATAATATATTCAGATGAACACAATATGTACAAAAGTACAGAGTAAGAAGTAAAATTTTTTCTCTCTCCTTATACCTCCTAGAGTTCATCCTCCAATTGACTCTCAGATGCTAATACAAGCTAGATATACCACTCTACAATTTCCCCTTTTCCCTACCAGGATACTTCCAAGTCATAGCTCTACCTCATTCTTTATCTGTGGAATTGCATTCCATGGTCTGAATGTGCTACACTTATGTAAGCAGTCTCTTACTAACAGAATTTTCCCTACTTTTTGGTTTGCTTTATTTTGTTATTACAACTTGCTGCTATGAATATCCTTCTACAAATATCTTCCTTTGGTTGTGCTAATGTGTGCAGAGTAAATAGGTACAACTGAACTTTTGGGTAAATGAACAAATTTACTATAACATTTGGAAGACATCACCAAATACACTTCCTCTTCCTCCTTCAACCTTCTAAAGCTGCACCAATTTTACACTCCCATCAACCCTCTTGCCTATGCTTCTTTTGGGACACAGTGTCATTTTTACTAGATGGGGAAAAGATGGTAACTCACTCTAGTCACAGTTTCTTTTAGGTTTTCCTTGAGCTGGTCTCTCTCTCCTTTGAGAGTCTCCTCAGTACTCCTAAGGTCATCTCTTTCTTTTGTAATAGATCTCATTTCTTCAAGGTTATCCTGGAGTCTCTGAGTTAACCTGATGTTCTCTATTTCTAGGTTTTCCACAGTTGACTTTTGGGTTTCAAATTGTTTCTTCAAGTATTCTATTTCACATATTTTCTCCTCAATCTCATTTACAGCTTTCATCTCAAGCTGATATTCTTTTACTGGAAATTCTTGAATCTGAGAAAATCATAAAACAAATTAGAGCAAAGGCAGGTTTTTTTTAAAAAAAAAAATTGGTTCTAAATTAAGTCCATAATTTTAACATTTAGTTTAATGTATGTACTTTTTACTTTCACAGGAACACAATAATCAGATGTCATTTTCCAACTTAAGAAGACCTACCTTTCCCCATAATTCAGCATCTGAATTTTCCAAATTTCTCTGAATATTTGCTCCTTGATCTGTCTTCTCTGAAATATTCCTTGTACTAATAGTTTCTTGGTACTCCTTCAGAAGAATGTCAGTAGTTTTTAGTTCCTCTTTCATTTTTTGTCTCTTTATGATGGGAGCAAAATGAATAAAAGTTAATAATGAATAAAAGTTAATAGTGAGCACTTTATCACCCTAATACTATTTTTGTATCCAAAAACATCAGAAGAGGGAAACTTACTTCAGCTACAAGTTCTTCAATGTTTTCTTTAAGTTGGTCTCTCTCCATTTGAAGGGCCTCTTGCACCCTTTTCAGTTCATCTCTTTCTTTAATTATAATTTTCATTTCTTCCTCACTTTTCTGAAGTCTCTCAATTAACTCGAGCCTCTGGCTTTCTAAACTTTCTAGTGATGAATCTTTGGCTTTGAGTTGCTCCTTTAATTGTTCCAATTCATTCATTTTTTCCTGAGTCTCACTAATTTCTTTGAAGCAAATAAGTTGTTCCTGTTTTACATGAAGCTCTTGCATCTTAAATAAAAATAGTCAAAAAGTATATATACAAATGCATGAAGTCTGTTTTTATTTCTATCTGCATATACATGTATGTATGTTGTGTTTTTATGTGATATATATATATTTATTGGCAGAAGTAGGTTTATAGTTGTGAGTACACAAAGCAATTTATTCTTTGTTTGTAATAATCATAACCAGTATATCTTTCCATATAAACTGTAAATATACTTTCACCCACCTCTATGTGTGTGTGTGTGTGTGTGTGTGTATAAATGTAATTTACTTATTTTTAGGTAAAAAACCTCAGTATACTCTCCAAAACAATTTAGTGTGTAAAAATAAGTATTCTTTGTAATTCAGTTAGCTACTTCCCTCAGATTTTTTCCCCACTGTACCTTCGCGCCCAACTCACCTTTTGCTGTAATTCAGATATTGTTTCTAATTCCTTTTGGAAACTTGATAGTTCAGTTTCTTTCTCTGAAAGATTCACTCTCAGCGTATCAATAATTTCCTCCTGTTCTTCCAGGCGACAATGAGCAACTTTGAGTTCCTCTTCAGTTTCTAGGTGCTTTATTAGAGGAAATTGTAAGAAATTTATAGAAACATTATTACCATTACACTCCAATTCCTTTTTCCAAAGGTTTAGTTTCCACAAAAATATTTGCTTACAAATTAGTTAAAAACGCACACACATACATAAGGAAAAGAATGTAACCTACCTTAGCTGTGATTTCTCTTACGTTTTCTTTCAGTTGGTCACTTTGAGACTGAAGAGTGTCCTGCAGCCTCTGTAGGTCATCTCTCTCCTTAGCTATAGATTTCACTTCCTGATGACTTTCTTGAAGTCTCTCAGACAAGTTGAGTTTTTCCTTTTCTAATCTTAGCAGTGCTGACTCTTTAGCTTGGAGTTGCTCCTTCAATTGCTCCATCTCACTGATTATTTCCTTTATCTCATTGTCTTTTTCCTGTACATTAAAGGACTGTTCTGGTATATCTTGAGCCTCTTGGATCTTAAGAGAATCATAAAACAGTAAAGATACTTTGAGGACAAAAGAAGTCAGGATATTTCCTAAAACAATTAAGACAGGATTTAATGGTTCATTTACAGAGCAATTCTTCCCTACTCTTCCATTATTCGGGTATTTAGCACTTAATATTGAGGGCTTACTGTGATGTCAGCATATTATTGGAAGCTAGAGATAAAACAGGAATGAGTCTTACAGGATCTCTGCCATTTTGAGACACTTTAGGGGAAAGTAGACGTTCATTCAAATCTTACCAAACAGGAGTACTCGTTCTTCTAGTGTACTGGCGGCAAACAGCCTATGTGAGTGTTTATGAAGTGGGGGAGTCGGTATGGTAATGCTGCAGGCAGGGAGACCATCTGAAGGCCTTGAGATGAGGGAGAACAATGGACTAGAGTTGCTGGAGTATAATGAGTAGGAGGATGAACGAACTGAAATAATGCTAGAGACCAGCAAGGTCTGGGAATCGTCTGCCTTTACAAAGGATTCTGGCCTTGATGTCAAGAGTAACTGTGTCATTAAAGGGTTTTAAGAAGATCAGAATGGAGAATAAATTTATTTCTTACTGAATCAATGAGTAAGACAGTAGTGCCTTATGAGATGCTGAAGGAATAGATTTAAAGGGGGGGAAAAAAGTAGTTTTGCTGGCGCCCTAACCCCCAATATAACTATTGGATATAGGGCATTTAAAGAGGGCAATTAAGGTTAAATGAGGTCATAAGGATGGGACCTGGTCCCATAAGACTGGTGTCCTTAAAAAAGAGGCAGAGATATTGGACACTTTCAGCTCTAGTGCACAGAAAAAAGGCCATGTTAAGATGTAGTAAAAAGACACCATCTACTTTCTAGAAAAAAAGGCCCCTCCATAAACAGAATTTTCAGGTACTTAATCTTGGCCATCTTGGCCTTCTAGAACACAAGTAGGAGAAAATAAATTTGTTATTTTTGCCACCTAGTCTATGATGTTTTATTATGGCAGCTTTAGCATACCATAATACACCCTTTAAAAAAAAAATCACCATTACTATTCTAGCTTTTCTTGTGTATTAGTTAACCAGTAAAGCAGTTATTCTCATAAGGTCTCAGAAAAAAACGAACCATACTGCCTAGAATGAGTAAGGTAAAATTTAAGCACCTACTAGTAAAATTATGGCTGAAAAATTAGAAATAGGCATTAAATATGATACACACATTGATTTTATAGTAAACTCTAAATAAGTTTAGTATTAAAATCTGAGCTGATATTTTATTTTACATAGCTGGTTTCACTCAGTGGCTAGAGCGTTGGCCTGCGGACTGAAGAGTCCTGGGTTCAATTCCAGTCAGGGGCATTAAAAAAAAAAAAAAGTGAACTAATATTTTTTTTTGCCATTTTCCAAGTTGATTGTAAGCAGTTAAATTAGAAGTTATTTCAAAGATATTAGGATGAAGTTTATGAATTATTGTTAGTTATTACCACTGTGAGTAATGAATATTACCATAATGTACTTAAGTGTTTGAGGTTAAGGAGAAAACTCATATATAAATATATGAAAACTTTAAACAGGAACGCTTTACCTCTTCCTGAAATTCATCCTTAGTTTCTCTTATGGTTTTCTTTACAGGCAAATTCTTGGAGCTGTCCTCGGAAATCTTCATTTTCAGAGTGTTGATAGTTTCTTGGTGTTGTTTCAAAGATTCAAGAGCATTTCGTAATTGTTCTTGGGTGTCTATGTTCTTTGTCAAAAAAATACAAAATCATTTCCATTAGAATAAGGTGAAACAATGAAAATAATTTTATAGTTTCTACTTGATCATAAATAATAAATGATGGCTCCGATAATGTTTTTAAAGATATTCTAAGTTTTCAGCATTTAACCAGTCAAAACCTTACCATGTTTACGGTATCCTCAATGTCACTTTTCAGCTGGTCTCTCTCAACTTGCAGGCTCTCTTGGAGTTGTTTTAAATAGTCTTTTTCTTGGGTTAAGATCTTTACTTCTTCTAAGGTATGGTGAAGTTTCTCAGTAGTCAGTAATTTCTCCCTTTCTATAGTTTGCAGCCTGGAATCTCTACTTTGTAATTGTTCCTTCAGCTGTTCCACTTCATTTAACCTTTCTTGACTTTGCTGAAGTTCTTGGGTTTTCTGAGAAAGCTTTAAAATAAGACAAAGTAAGTGTGAAAAGCAGAACATTCTATGTCATATACATGGAACCAAACTGCAGCAGATGAAAGGTCATTTCCCTAGAAGATATCTTTACCAACCTCTGCCTTTAAGTCATCCAAAGTTAAACCAAGTTTTTGAGATTCTTTAGAGAGATTTTCTATTTCCTGATTTATTCTTGCATTCTCTTCAAGGACCACGTTATACTTTTGTTCAAATTCAATATGATAATTTTTAAAATCTTGGAATTCTTGATCCATGTTTTTATAATTCAATTGGGTAGTTGCAAGGTCATCTTTAGTTTTCTTAATTTCTTCAAGTAAATCTTGAATTCTACTCTCCTTATGAACTACTTCAGAACACAATTTGTCTTTTTCTGATGTTACTAGATATAGCTCTTCAGATTTATCATTCACCTATGGAAAAAAAGAATTCTTAGCATTGCTAATAATGTATGATTTACTTAAGTTTTCAGAAAAACAAAAATAAACACAAAAATTTTTTTCTAAAAAAAAAAAAAAAAATTAAAAAATAAGCAAAGATTTGACCAAGAAAAGGCAATATTTTTATTGTCTCTTTAACAGTGTATTTTCTTATTTAACTTTACCATCAAAATAAGTTATTTGCTTAAAAATGTGTTTACCTCTTTCCTTAGCACTTCTACTTCTGAAGGTAAAGATTTCAATTCTGAGAGCAAATTAACTTTTTCATGCAAAGCTTCATTTACTTCAACTTCTTTCTTCAGTTCTTTCTGGAGATCTGTAATCTTTCTTTCCAATTCCAAATTACAGAGCAAATCTAGGAAATTTTTGGTAAATTAAATAAATAGTTGCAACAAAAGTCTATCTATCTGCACACCTGTTAATATTTCTTGAATCACCTTTTTTAAGAATATGTACAATTTCTAACCCTTATAATCTGAAGTCCATAGAAACATTTATACATAGTGATACATATAATACTGAAAGTTAATATTAAGCTATTAAAAATCAGAGAATAATGGATTTTCAACCACTGGAATATTGTTGCAAAATCTTTTAGGTACATTTCAACAGAAAATTAGATTTGAAAAGATGTAGTCTGAAATTTCAAGATACCTTTTGGAACTCTGCCATCTAAAAGGGAGTTGAGTTTTGTTATCTCATTAAAAGAATATTGTAATTCTTTCTCCAGATCAACTTGTATCTTCTCTTTTGCCTCCAACCGGCTTTGATGTAACCGATTATCACTTTCCATTTGCTTGCACATACTTTCAAGTTCTTTCTATTAAGTAGAACATTGAAAAATTTACAAAAATGTACTGATCATTACAAGTGCTCAATTTTGAAAATATTACAAAAATCACCTACCATTTTCTCTTTTAGCTCCAGATTTTCACTCCTAAGAAAGGCTGATTCTCTCTTGGCATCAAGGGCTACAATTTCAGCATCAAGCTGAGTTTGTTTCTTCTGTTTTAGATCTCCGGTGTCTTCCTATACACATGACAAATGATTTTAGTGAGATATATAACTTTCTCAGAATTAGAAACGTTACCACACTTTTGTCTAGCCAGCGTGTTAAAGTTCCTTATGTATTTTTATTTTAAGTTATTCTCTCCAAAACATGATAGGCTAGTAGTTAATAGTTAAGATTAAGAATATTAAATTAGCCCTGGTCAGGGGGCTCAGGTGGTTAGAGCGTTGTCCTGTACACTAAAAGATTTCGGGTTTGATTCCTGGTCAGGGCACATACCCTGGTTTCGGGTTCATCTCCGGCTGGGGCACATGGGAGGGAACAGACAGAAGTCTCTTTCTCACACCAATGTTTCTCTGTCTCTCTCTCTCTCTCTCTCTCTCTCGCTCTCCTCCTCAGATAAGGATTATTTAAAAAAACTGAATTACCACTTGAAAAGAAAATTACCCAATTGGAAAATATACAAATAGGTAACTTAGTGAAGGGAAAAATCAGAAGTCATGTTTAGAGAAAAGTGGCATTTTAACATGACTTTAGCTTAAATAAATTCAACCATATGTACTTGGCAAAATATTAATGCACGCATGAATTAACAAAGCATAAGAGACAATTTTTTAAAAAGTTGGCCAATTCTGCTTGCTACTTTATTAATCCTATTCTCCAGGATTATATGAAAGCAACTTTCTTACCCACAACTCAGAACAGTGAGAATACTTCTAAAAAATATATTTATATATTTATTGATTTCAGAGAGGAAGAGAGAGGGAGAGAAGACAGAAACATCAATGATGAGAGAGAATCAATGGTTGGCTGCCTCTTGCACTCCCGACACTGGGGATTGAGTTTGCAACCTAGGTATGTGCCCTGACCAGGAATTGAACTGTGATTTCCTGGTTCATAGGTTGAAGCTCAACCATTAAGCAACGCAGGCCAGGCAAAAATACTTTTAGAAAGAATCATCTGTCATTAATAGGAGGTAACAAAGATTACTACGAAAAACTCAAAATAAAAACAACAGAACAGAAATCACAATTTAAAAAATTCAAGCTAGAAACTGTTAATTTTCTTGAAGTAGTCAGGTGTATTGAGCAAATAAATAAAAACATCAAAATTTCACCATGTCAATGTTACTTAATACCACAATCTAGTATCAAATAGTCATATAGAACAATAGTTTCTGAAAAATACTAAAACTGTTGAAAATAGTAACTTAAATTATGAGAATGCATTAATATCAGTAAAATTAATGAAAACATGCTCATTTATGTGTTTTAGTTCTAGATCTTTATCAATAACATAAGTGCTCATCTGAAGACGTTGACTACACACTTCTACCTGCATTTGTACAAAACAGAAGAATTAAAAACATTTTAAAATTACTAATTTTTTAATGGCAGCTCATAACCTACTTGTTTATATTGACTCAAAGGATGGTATTCTCAACTCTTTATGAGTGGTTCCTTATCTGTAAAAATGGCAATGTTCCTAATATAGTCCTTTATTGACAAGATTAACTAAAATACTGTATGTAAAACATTACAATGCTCACCACATTATTGACACATTTGCTTTAATGATGATGATGAAGGTATGCTATAAATATTAACATTACATAATAAAATAAACCTGATTTTTACCGATGAGTATGACAAGTCTGTTTTCACACTTTCTGAATTCTGAGAGTCTATGTATTTCTGTAATTTTTTAATTTGGTCTTCTTTTTCATTAAGTAGATCTACTTTTGAACTTAGTTCATTCTAAAAGAAATCAAAGGAGAGTAAAACAATTTAATTGGATTTGAATTCTAGGGGATTAAAAGGAACTTATTAATAGTTCAAATTGGTAAACAGTAAAATTAAAAAAGTTGACACTTAAGAAATATTTATTTTCTGAAATCATAAATCATATTCAATTATGTATGATTTCTTTTATAATTTTAATTCCTTAGTAGAAATATGAACATAAATGCTCACCTCAAGATCCTGATTATATACTTCTGCATGCTTAACTAAATTCTTTAAGTTCGAAATTTCATGAATTAGTTGCATCTGTAAGAACATGTGAATAGGCAACAGAGCAAACCAATAGTTAATAAAGCAAAAAAAAAAAAAAAAAAAATTGAATCACTGCTTCAGAATCACCCAACAAGTAAGAAGAGACTGAAAAATAATTATTCAAGCTACTGTAACAGAGCATCTCATTACTTAAGAGTACCAAAAAGCCCCAAATCAAACGCCAAGCCCAAACAACCAAACAAAACCTCTGCACACCCCAGGAAGAAAGCAAACAAGAAAAAACCCCAGCATCTGTTAATGAAGCTACAATAACTTCAAAAGCAAATTAGTATGTACTTTACAAAAACATGCTTCTATTAGGCTTTTGTTTTGGGTAAGTACAGAAATGTATTTATCCTAAGAGATTTCTTTCTTCTCATAATTATCTATTTGTTTTTACACTGGCATACTTTTTAATGAATTGTGATTTAAAATTTAGATTTAAATTATGGTAGTTTTATGGAGCCTTTACAATATTATTACTGTTTACCAAAGCTATAAAGATTTGCATGGAATTATCAACTGTTAACTTTGATGGTTTATAGGAAATATTGGAAGGCTAATATTTTTTGCTTTATATTGCTCAATTAATATATAAGTACTTAAAGATGAAAGTATTTCCATTAAAGTTTCCTTTCTAACAAAACATCTGTAGCATTTAAATATTTGAGTATTGGCAATTTTTGTGCTAAAAAAGTAAAACAACTTTTTTGTGTGTTTAATTCAGTTCTAACTTGTTTTAATTTCAGAACTGATAGTTTAGATACCCTTATTTTAGATTAGCACCAATCAATAGAAATATAATGTGATTTCTCTCTCCCCCAATTTTTTTTGGGGGGTGGCAAAATTTGTAATTAATTTTTTCTAGTAGCCACATTAAAAAGAAATAAAAAGAAGCAGGTAGAATTTTAATATATGTTATCTAGCCAAATATATCTAAAATATTATTGTAGTTTCTTCCTGTAATCAATAATAAAAACTAAGAAAATGTTAAAAAAAATTTTTTTTATGCTTAGGCCAATTCACACTAACCCCATTTCAAATGATCAATTGCGCCAGCACCGGTTTGGCTCAGTGGTAGAGCGTTGGTCTGTGGACTGAAAGGTCCCGGGTTCGATTCCGGTCAAGGGCATGTACCTTGGTTGCGGGCACATCCCCAGTAGGGGGTGTGCAAGAGGCAGCTGGTCAATGATTCTCTCTCATCGACGTTTCTAGCTCTCTATCCCTCTCTCTTCCCTCTGTGAAAAATCAATAAAAATATATTTTAAAAAAAATTTCCTTTGTCAAATGATTAATTGCCACATATAATTAGTGGCTACCCCCTTTTTCAGCAAAGTTTAGACATCTGTATTGATTAAAGTTTAAATTGGCTCTGTTACCCTTTCTTCCACTTCTAACTTTTGCATAAGAAAATAACATTTATTTATATAGAACTGCTGGGGTTCTTGTCCCAGCCTTACAAAGCGTTCAGCAATCTGGAGAATGGGGATGATGCATAGATTTAAGAAGGAGTCCAAGGACGAAAGATAATTTTGAAAGGCATTGGGGATCAGAGGAGCTTCAGCTAAAGGAACTAGAAGACTACTTCCTTGTCTAAGGACCTCATGCTGTTTATTTAACACAATTTGTCCTAAGGCAAGGTGGAGATATACACTTCAAAGGGTAAGGTTTCAAAAGCATTGTCGGTGTTTGGCCAACAGGAGGCAATAAAATGCTCTGAGCTGTCTGGCAGCAGACAATCCTATTCAAGTTTGGGGGAAGTGCCATTTAGCTGTTTCCAACAGGTAAACTATATATGTGGCTCACCCTTGTTGAGCCACCCAAGCTTCACCAACCTTTTGGTGAAACTCTTATAATTATTACATGCTGGAATTGGTTCCTGGCAAGAACTAAATAATCAATCTTAAATTTTTAAAGCATTCAGAAAAAATAATTCTCCTACTTTTATTTGAAACAGTACTTTATTTTAAGTACTGGGAACAGGAAAAGATTATGTGATTTTTGTAATGATCTGAGTGTAACCACTATTTAATGTATTGATTAATGAGCACAAGGAGAAAATAATCATCCATTGTTATATACAAAATAGTACAGATTTCAACTGTAATTCGCAGCAGGTGAAATGAAATTTAACTTCTTAAAGACAAAAATCTCCTACTTGTGAAAATTATAAAATTAAATAGATCAAGTTAAAATAGGTAGAGGGTTGAAGTTTCTCTTGTTCTCTGAGTCTGATGATACTTGATCTTGTTTAGTCTGTTCTCTAAAATTATTGTTTAAAACACCCTGCATTACATTCTCACTTGAAAATTATCCACAACTTTGGTGATTTTTGATGAAATCCTTAGGCAAACCAGAGCACATATCCTCAGATCATAATAGGATGTTCACTCCCCTTTTGTTAAACTTTCTCCCCAGATGTACATGTTGGAACATTTTTTACTGTACACACACAGACTTATATTTTTAGTTTAAAATGCAATGTATATCGTAAAACAAATCTTCAAATAGAGTAAGCCTTTAATATTTAATATTTTAGATTATCTCACAGAACTAAGAATTTCAATTTGTGTTTGAGAAAAACTAAATAGAGTTGTATTATTTTCCTCCTGATGGTGGCTAAAAATAAAAATAAAAAGTCAAATGTGAGTTTTAAGACATAGATTCTGTGTTATTTTGTAATCTTTTTGTGTGTGACTCAATTAATGAGCTTCAGTTTTTATTTTTAACTGAATGTATAAGTGATGTAAGAATAATTAATATATAGTATCTATACATGAAACAGCTAAATATTAAAATTTCTTCAATGCAAATAGAAGAAATAGATTAACTAAACCTTCCCAAAGATGTTTTTAATTCTTTCTTCCTCTTGAGCATAAGAACAGGTGAAACAAATATGGTTTAACTATTTTAATAACAATATAAATGAATTATTTCTTAAATTCTCTAATTGTGTATGCATATGGAAGATGGCTGGATTCTTAACCTCAATCTTATAAATAAATATATTTAAGAAAATGATATTTCTTACAAAAGTTGTTTTAGTTTAGTGTTGTTTCATATCCTTACCTCTTGATCTTTTTCTGCTTTTCTTTCTAGAGCCTCAAATTCATCCAAATCATTCTTTTCTTTTAATTTCAATTCCATTTCTTCATTTTCTTTTCTTAGTTTTTCATAGTCCAACACCAGATTATCATAGTCAGCACGAAGTGAATTCAACTCACTTTCTAAGTTTTCCTGTTGTAAACAAAACCAGATTTTCAAGCTGGAGAGAATTCAGATTATATGTTTGTTTACTTAACTAAAAATTTGGATTAGTCACATAAATTTAACCTTGCATGATTTGGTAGTTGAGGTCATTCTCTTTTTCAATATCATCCTAATGTTTTAACTTGTTCCACAGCAAAATTAGCTAACTTAGAACAGACGACTACTTTGAAAGGTGTAGAATTAAAAAGACTATATAAACAAATGCTCTGCCTTGTGCCTGCCCAGAAAAAGTTCATCAGGAGTAGGAGATAGGGTGCATAATGGAAAAATCTATTTTATCAAAGATCCTTAAGCTCCTTAGGAATAAAGCTGATGATTTACCTCACTTGTCTGATACAAATTTTATTTTTCAGATGGCTTTAAATTAGGAGAGAAACAGAAGTATTACTTATTGATCTCTAAAATTCTATTCATTGCTAGGTTTTTGCCATCCCCAACAGAGACCTGCTTCTGTTTTCTATACTTTTATGATGAGATAAACTTTATCATACAAATCCATCAATGGGCAGATTATCTAAACATTCCCAAAGATGTTTTTAATTCCTTCTTCCGATTGAGAATAGGCACAGATGTATCAAATGTAAGTTTTTTTTAAAAAAAATATATATTTTATTGATTTTGTACAGAGAGGAAGGGAGAGAGATAGAGAGCTAAAAACATTGATGAGAAAGAGTCATCAATCAGCTGCCTCTTGCACACCTTCCTACTGGGGATATGCCTGCAATCAAGGTACATGCCCTTGACCGGAATCGAACCCGGGTCCCTTCAGTCCCCAAGCCGACGCTCTATCCATTGAGCCAAACCAGTTTCGGCTCAAATGTAAGTTTAAAAAAAAAATCCACAATCAATAAAAACCAAAAACTAAGACCAGAGATTTTATAAAATCAACAAACTTCCATAGTATGCTTTAGGGACACAAAACCACTTTACCAATAATATTTAACTAGTTATAATAACTAATTTATGACTAATTACAGTGGTTAGCTAATAATAATTCCTAAGAAGGTTCCAAGTTTAATCCAAAATTAACATGAAATTACTTTAACTAATTCATATAAAGAACTTTATCTATTTCTTTGAACATTAGCAGCTGGGAAAGTAAACATGGAATCTACATTTACTAAGATATTCTTACAGGAGTCTTTTTTCCTAAAGTTGTGATGAGACCATATGTAATACATTTACTTTTATTTTTCATTATTATTTGGCAACATTACTTTTCCCTGATATATATTATTGTACTATAAGCCTGATAATTTTGACACTTCTAATATCAGCCATCTTTTTTTTTTTTTTTTAAAACTCTTAGGAGATTTTCCAAGGGAAAAAAGAAAGTAAATCATAGATACCAAAATCTGCTGGTAATGGACTGAGTTTTATCTATTACCATACACCCATTTTATAAAGCTTTTAGCTTCCTTCTAGATGGCATAATTATCAGCTGTGAGTCTAATGAGTGAAGAAGCCTTAATTAGAACCAACACTGTTACTGAAATTAAGTCAGAGCCATTATGTGCTATAACAATAGTAAACACCACTAACAAATAACTTTAAAGAGTAAAAGGATAATGTTCTATAAAATACATTCAAGTTACCTGACTTAGTAGCTTTGTTGCTGGATTCCACTCTATATCCGTTATTGTATCAAGGGTGTTACTGAAAACATCAGCCTCTGAACAGACAGCTGTTAATTAGGAGAAAAGAAATTTATACATAAATATGCTAGTAAGTTTCCTAAAACTCAAAGTATAGTTTAGTAAAAGAATTCTGATCAGATGTAATAAGTTCAATTTAGTTATTATGTGCTCATAGCATGACTGCCAAGAATACATTAAGAACAGATGTGACTGTATATATTATTTTGTGAATTGAGATCACTGGCTAGAATTAATTATAAAATATAAGCACTTTAACACAATACAGGTAAAAAGAACAAATTATGAATTTGAGATTTGATCATTGTTAAGTAGTTTTTTTAAATGCCCCAAAATACTTCAAGTGTTAGACATAACTTTGAAAATTTTCTGTGTAAATTCTACCTTTTTAAGATTAGCAACATTTAAGGCAGATATTATATGAATAGTAATTTAATTGGATAAAGATTAGAAAACAATAAAAATATTTGTATTATGTAGTCTAATGACTGCATTATTTTTAAGAGACCTGGGAATAGAAAATGTCATGAGGTCTCTACAACCAGAACACCCAGGAACCAGCTGTGAACCAAGGAACACCAGATTTCAAGCAGCACAAATAGGCAGACTAGGATGAGCTCTGCACCTTTTCACAGAAAGGTCATATTTCACTAAGGGAAAGGAGAGAGAGCGCTACATAACCAGACACATGGAAAGAGAGATCATGATGAAACAAAGAAATAGCCCACATATAAAAGAAAAGGAGGCATCACCAGAAAAGAAAAGAAAAGAAAAGAAAAGAAAAAAAAAAAAGCAAGTAAAATGGAGGCAAGCAATCTGTCAGAGAAAGATTTTAGAGTCATAAGGAAGAACCAAGAAGAAATGAAAAATGACATCGCTGCTATAAAGAACTCAATAGAAAGCATTAACAGTAGACTAGAAGAAGCAGAGGCCTGCATCAGTGAGCTAGAAGACAAGGTAGGAAAAAATACCCAAGCAGACCAGTGTTTAGAAAAACAAAACAAAAACAAAAAACAACTTAAAAAACAGCAGGAGAGCCTAAGGGAACTATGTTACAACATGAAAGAAAACAACATCCACATAAAAGGGGTTCCAGAAAGAGAGGAAACTGAGCAAGAAATAAAAAACCTATTTGAAGAAATGATAGGAAACTTCCCAGATAGAGGGATGAAAAAACTCACACAAATCCAAGAAGCTCACAGAGTCCCAAACAAAATGAATCCCAAGACCGATACCAAGGCACATTATAATTAAACTGGCAAACACCAATGACAAAGTAAGGATCTTAAAAGTGGCCAGTGAGACAGAAAGTTACCTACAAAGGATCACCCATCAAACTAGCTACTAATTTCTCAACAGAAACATATCAGGCCAGAAGAGAATGGAGTGAAATATACAAAGTCATGCAAAGGAAGGGTGTGAACCCAAGAATATTGAAATCAGCAAGGTTATCAATAAAAATTGAGGATGAAATCAAGAGCTTCACAGACAAAAAAGGTTTAAGGGAATTTATCACCACCAAACCAGCAATGCAAGAAATGCTAAAGGGTATGTTGTAAAAAGAAGAAATAGGAAGCGAAGAAGGAACACAGGCATAAAGTATAAAAATGACAATAAACAAGTACTTATCAATAATAATTTGATATGTAAATGGATTAAATGCCCCAATCAAAAGACATAGGGAAGCTGAGTGGAAAAGAAAACATGACCATATATCTGTTGTCTATGGGAAACCCACCTCAGAAAAAAGGACTCACACAGAATGAAAGTAAAGGGATGGAAAAAGGTTTTTCAGGTGAATGAAAATAAAAAATAAAAGCTGGAATAGCAATATTTAATATCTGACATATTAGATCTCAAAGTGAAGGACATAAAAAGAGATAAGGAAGGCCACTTCATAATACTAAAGGAAGCAATCCAAACAAGAAGAAATAACTGGTAAATATATACACTCCCAATACAGGAGCACCCAAATACATAAAAAAACTTCTGGAGGATATCAAGGGAGAGACTGACAGCTATACTGTCATATTAAGGAACTTTAATATCCCACTATCACCATTGGACAAATCCTCTAAACAAAATCAGCAAAGAAACATCAATCCTAAATGACTCACTAGATGGAATTGACATCTTTCAGAACATTTCACCCCAAAGCCACAGAATATACATTCTTCTCAAGTGCACATGGTTTATTTTCAAAGATAGACCATATGTTGGAACATAGACAAAGTCTCTTCAAATTCAAGAAGATACAAATCATATCAAGCATCTTCTCAGATCACAATGGAATAAAACTAGAAATCAATTACAATAAACACAATCCAAAAAAATCAAACAACTGGAGGCTAAACAGCATGCTATTAAACAATGCCTGGGTTTCAGAGAGACCAAAAAAGAAATTAAAAGCATCTCGGCAACAAATGGCAATGAAAACACAATAATCCCAAATCTATGAGACACAGTAAAAGCAGTCTTGAGCGGGAAGTTCATAGCTCTACAAGCCTACCCCAAAGAAACAAGAAACTATGGTAATAAATTATCAAAACCTACAACTCAGAGTTAGAAAGAGAGCCATAAGAAAAACCTAGCATAAGCAGAAGGAAGGAAATAATAAAGTTCACAGTGGAGATAAATGAAATAGAGAACAAATAAACAATACAAAAGATCAACAAAACCAAGAGCTGGTTATTTGAAAGGATAAACAAGATTGATGAACCTCTAGCCAGGCTCACCAAGAAGCAAAGAGGACCCAAATAAACAAAATCAAAACGGAAAGAGGCAAAATAACAACAGATCCCACAAAAATCAAAGGATTGTTAAAAAAATACTATGAACAGCTCTATTCCAACAAAAAGGACAAACCAGATGAAATGGACATGTTCTTAGAAAAATACAAGCTCCCAAAATTAAACGAAGAAGAATAAAAAAACCTAAATAGGCCACTAACTACTGAAGAAATTGAAACAGCAATAAAAAAATCTTCCAGCCCTGGTCCAGACTGCTTTACAGAGGAGTTCTACCAAGAACACAAAGAACTAAATAAAACCTATCTTCCTCAGACTATTCCAAAAATTCATGAGGAAGGCACATTTCCAGCTCTTTCTATGAAGCCAGCATTACCCTAATCCCAAAACCAGATAAAGACACCACACAAAAAGAGAACTGCAAGCCAATATCCTTGATGAACATAGATGCTAAAATCCTCTACAAAATTCTAGCAAATAGGATTCAGCATTACATTAGAAAGATCATACACCATGTCCAAGTGGGATTTATTCTGGGGATGCAAGGACGGTACAATATCTGCAAATGTGATACATCACATAAAAAAACTGAGAGACAAAAAAAATCACATAATCATATTAATTGATGCAGAAAAAGCATTTGACAATATCCAACACCCTTTCTTGATAAAAACTCTCAGGAAAGTGGGAATAGAAGATCATACCTCAACATAATAAAAGCTCTATATAACAAACCTATAGCCAACATCATATTCAATGAGCAAAAACAACCCATTTCCCTTAAGAACAGGATGCCCACTTTCACCACTCCTGTTTGACATAGTACTAGAAGTACTAGCCATCGCGATTAGACAAGAAGAAATAAAAGGCATCCAAATTGGAAAAGAAGTAAAATTATCCTTATTTGCAGATGACATGATACTATACATAGAAAACCCCCAAGACTCCATTAAAAAACTATTAGACTTACTAAATGAATTTGGCAGTGTAGCAGGATACAAAATTAACACCTAGAAATCTATGACCTTTTTATACACCAATAATGAACTCACAGAAATAGAAATGAAAACAAAACAAACAAAAAATCCAATTTACCATTGCACCTAGGAATAAACTTAACCAAGGATGTAAAAGACTTGTACTCAAAAAATTACAGGACACTGAAAAAAGAGATAGAGGAAGAAATAAAAAAATGGAAGAACATACCATGTTCATGGATTGGTGGAATCAACATCAGTAAAATGTTCATAGTACCTAAAGTAATCTATAGATTCAATGCAATACCTAAAAACACCAATGGCATATTTCAAGAATCTAGAACAAACTCTCCAAAAATTAATCTAGAATAAAAAACAAAAAACAAATAGACACAGCTGTCCTGAGAAAGAAGAACAAAATTGAAGGGATAACAATACCAGACATCAAGCTCTATTACCAACCCACGGTTCTCAAAACTGCCTGGTACTGGCACAAGAACAGACATATAGACCAATGGGACAGAACAGAGGGCCCAGAAATTGACCCAAGTCATTATACTCAAAAAAAAAAAAAAAAAAAAAAAAAAAAAAAAAAAAAAAAAGAAACTAGATCACCAACTTACACCATACACAAAAACAAACTCAAAATGGCTAAAGGACTTGAATGTAAGACGGGAAACCATAAAAATCCTACACTACTCCATGGGAAGCAAAATTGCAGACTTATATAGTAGCAATATCTTTATAGACACAGATCCTAGGGCAAGAAAGATTAAGGAGAAAATAAACAAATGGGACTACATCAAAATAAAAAGCTTCTGCACAGCAAAAGAAACCATCAACAAAATAACAAGAAAGCCCACTGCATGGGAGATCGTTTGCCAATATTACCTTCAATAAGGGTTTAATATCCAACATTTACAGGGAACTCATACAACTTAACAAAAGGAAGATAAATAATCCAATAAAAAAATGGGCAAAGGATCCAAATAGATACTTTTTGAAAGAGGATATTCAGAAAGTCAAGAGGATATTCAGAAAGTCAAGAGACAAAGTCACTAATTATCCAAGAGATGCAAATCAAAACAAGGAGATACCATCTCACACCTTTCAGAATGGCTATCATTAACAAATCAACAAAGACAAGGAAAGGATTCAGAGAAAAAGGAACCCTCCTTCACTGCTGGTGGGAATGCAGACTGGTGTAGCCACTGTGGAAAACAGTATGGAATTTCCACAAATAATTAAAAATAGAACTGCCATTTGACCCAGAATATCACTTCTAGGAATATATCACAAGAAAACAGAAACTCCAATCAGAAAGGATTTAAGCACGCCAATGTTCATAGCAGCACAATTTACAATAGCTAAGATTTAGAAACAGCCTAAATGTCCATTGGCAAATGAGTGGATTAGAAAACTATGGTACATCTACACAATGGGATACTATGCTGCTATAAAAAAGAAGAAAATCTTACTATTTGCAGCAACATGAATGGAACTAGAGAGCATTATGCTAAGTGAAATAAGCCAGGCAGTATAAGAAAAATACCACTAATTTATGGAAAATAAAGAACATTATAACCTGCTGAACAAATAGATACAGAGGTAAAAAAGCATCAAACAGACTGTCAAATTACAGTGAGAAGGCTGGGGAGGGTTGGGGGGAGTAACAAGTCAATCCAAGGACCTGTATACATGCACTTAAGCATAATCAATGGATATAAGACACTGGGGGTAAAGGGGTAAGGGCATGTGCCTGGGGCATATGGGGGCTAAGGGGAAGGTCAATAGGGAGAAAAAAGGAGACATATGCACTACTATATGTAATACTTTAAATAATAAAATAAAATATTTATTTCACCCTATCTTACTAAAAAAATTGCTTTAAAGTGTAAAATAAACATAAAAAAAAAAAAAGAAAACATCATGAATGTTCACTTATTTAGTTATAATCTCCACTGGAATATGCTTTAGGGACACAAAAGCACTAATCACATCTTACATACATATACTTTATTTAAATGTGTTTACCCATTAACGGAGATACAATCAGTAAAGTCTCCCATCGTAGGGATACTTTTATAAAAATGCACTCACATTCATCAATTTCTCCTATAGAAGTTACACCACTCCTTTGTCTTTTTATTGTATTTACTGGCATATTAAACTCATTTACATAGTTTGATTCCTTCATTTTGTTAATTTTGCCAGGGCACCAAGTGACTCTTCGTTTTATTTTTGCCTAAAGAGGGGGGAAAAATTAAAATTACTTCACCCAGATAATAAAAACAAGGAAATTAGTTTCGTTTTTTAAGAATGATTGCCTTGGTAGAATTCTTATCAAGCCTAGTTTAAGATCTTATCAGCCTAAGGACATACTGAGATAAGAAAATATACTCAAACTTTTCGAATCAGTGTTTAAACCCATCATTAATTTGATGAAACTATTTAAATTTTTTTAAAAATTGGAATCTTTACTTATAAGTTTCTCTGGGACTTAGTTGAAAGAAATTGGGTGACACATAATCCTTAAAAGAAGCACCTTTGGGAACCCAGCTTGAAGTGGGAAGGAGCAGACAGGTAGCCCATTTGAATTTCCTCTCACAGGGCCCTTCACAATGCCAAGGATCTTCCAATTTGACTAACTAATGCCTCCATCAGTGCTCCTGGTCTCATTTGTTCCTTTCTCTGGTGGGCCCCTGCTCCCTTAATGACCTATTATGCATTTGTCATTTTCACTAGGCTCCTTCCTCTCAGCTTTACAAATGCACAAGCCTCTGTTTGCTTTTGATTAAAACAAAAAATAAAAAAACACAAGAAAATCTTGACTCCTTACTCTCCTTAGCTGCCATTCTCTTTCTGTACCATCTTCTTCCTTATTCCTTCAAAGACACCTGCCTCCTGGTTCTTATCCCACTCAGCTAGCTATCCTCACCACTAACTCCACTTTGCTGGTTTCTCTTCCTCTGCCCACCTTCTGTTTGTGGTTTTCCATATTTCATAGCTACCATTCTTCTCTTGTCCCTCTACTTGTACAAGCATTGTCTCATTTTATTTGATCCTCTCAACAATTCTATATTATCATATCCATTTTATAAAGAAGTCGAAAAAGTTTGGAGAAGTTGTGTACGATCTCACTCTCAATTGGTAGCTGAGCCTAGGCCTGTAACTTCAGAGCCTATCCACTAACCACTCCACTGCATTGCCTCTCAAGGTTTTCTGTATGATATAGATATTTGTATAATGCAGATATATATCTGTATGACTGCATTGCTTTCATGCTCTTACCACACAGTATCTTTTTGCTTAAAAATAGCCGTTTCCACAGCCTGCTCTGCAAAAGCCCAGTCATTAAAATCCTTCACTTCAAAGACTTTCAGCTTAAATCCATCTGTTCCCAACCCTCTCCTGAATCTTGCCATTATCTGAAATTCCTAAACCTAGATCTCCTACTCTATCTAAAGTCCCTATCCTTCCACCTCATTGATTCAGTCAACCCCGTTCTGGCTATCAAGCTTAAGAGGGAGCTCTATTCCCTTGATCCACTTCCTTCTTCCTGCCAGCTCCTTCTTGGTTCTTATTTCATCATCTTAGATTCCATAGATGATCACTTGAATCATGTTTTTGGGTCAACAGCCTCAAATTATTTGACCCATTCTCTGTTCCTTACACCTATTCCAACCTAGTGAACACTCAATGAATTACACTACCTCCTCAGCCTTTATCAGTCTCCTTAACGCCGTCAGAGCCACACAACCGGAAGTCTGGCTGCTAACATCACCTGGATCTTCAATGCTGACTGGCCGCACTCCTCTCCCCGGGGGCTTTCTTTTCATTACAAAGGCTACACTACTGCAAACCCTCAGTATGTCTGCAAACTCATGTCTTTACCATCTCCTGCCACCACAGCATAAAAAAAAAAACCAAAAAACTTCCTATTTCACAAAGAAAACATAAGCCTAAATGTATGAAAGCCGTACTTGCGCTGAAGCCTGTCCTTTCCCCCGTCCTTGTTATAATGAACAGGTGTTTCTCCCTCTACCTAAGCCCAGACCTTCTGCTGTATTTAAGATCCCATCCCTTTGGGCCATCTCAACCCACTGCAAGGTGGCTTTCACTCCCAACGCATAACACAAAATGCTTTTGCAAATGAGCTTCTTGTTTCTAAATCCTAATTTTTTTGCGTCTACATGTATCTTGTTGAACTTCGCAATAGAATCTGACACACTGCCTCTCTGGAATAGTCTCTTCCTCTCGTGACCACATTTACCTGTTTCCTTAACCCTAGGCTCCTTTATGGATTCTTCTTCTCTGCCTCTCTTTACCTACAAAGTTGCTATTTCTTGGGGTTTTGTCTTTGGCCCTCTGTTCTTTTCATTCGCAACTTGTTGCCAAAAAAGGCCATCCATTCACAAGACTTTAATTTGGATCAATTTGTAATGTTTGTGTCCAAATGGCTATCTGCATCTCAGATTTTTCACTTGATTTTCATACACTTGCATTTTCAACTGTCTGACACCTTTAATGTCTCAAATCCAAACACTGAGCAGAGTCACTGCTCTATATTCCTTGTCCCTTAACGCAATGAATACGGCTACCAGCTATCCAGTAAGCCTAGCAATGCCTGCAAGTCATTCTGGAAACCTCCTTCTCCCTTTCCCACCTCCCATATCTAAACAATCACAAACTCCTGTTGAATCGCCCTCCCAAACAGCTCTTCAGTTTATCCAATATTAGAGCCACCATCCTTGTAGAGGCCCAATCCATCTGATGTGCATACCAGCTCTACACTTTCCTAAACTGCAATTCTGATCATGTTACTTACAAGGCTTTGTACCTGTCCTTAGCGTAACGAAAAGTTTAAAACTTTCGATGTGATTTAAAATGCCCCTGCCACCAGAACATTTTAAGTCCAAGAAACATGTCTTTTCACAACTTCTGTACATGTAGATGTCTTCCTGAACCACTCATCCCTACATCTTTAATTGGGCTATTTTCTAATCATCATTCAGTCAATACACAGTTCTTGAGGTCTTATATATATCTAGCATGTTGATTGGAACATAATGTATATTAATAATAACCTAAAGAGCAAATCTTTATTGAGGGTTTGCTATATGGAATGTTAAACACATTCTATATTACTTATCACATCAATCCTATAAGGTAGGGTTCAGGTTGTCTCACTGAGTAGGAAACTGCAGCAAAGTATCTATAATTATAAAAGGGGATTAGACTAGGAGGTCTTCCAGACATCCTTCTGGACAAAGCCATGGTGGCAGGGCCGAGGCAGAGGCAGCTAGGAGCCATCAGGTTGGCGGGGGTTGGGGGGGGGGGGGAGAAGTGGGGGATATGGGAGGGAGAGACAGTTGGGGGTGAACAGGCTGGTGGGGTCAGTTGGGAACAATCAGGTCAGCGGGGGGGGGGGGAGGCGGGAGGCATTTGAGGGCGAGCAGGTTGGCAAGGGGGGGCAGTTGGGGGCAAGCAGGCTGGCAAGTGGGAACAGTTGAGGGCAATCAGGCCAGCAGGGGAGCAGTTAGGGGGTGATCAGGCCGGCAGGTAGAGGCAATCAGGCAGGGAGGCAGGCAAAAGGTTAGGAGCCAGTAGTCTTGGATTGCAAGAGGATGCAGGCCGGGCTGAGTGAGCCCTGCTCCTGTGTACAAATTTAATGCACAAGGCCTCTAGTCTATGATAATGAAAGCATAATATGCTAATTAGACCAGATGTCCTTCCATACGTAGCTGGGACTGCAAGGAAGCCCGGGTCTCGAGTGCCTGCCGGTGGGTTGAAGGGAAGCCCAGGTACAGGTGCTAGAGGGAAGCTGGTGCCAGCAGTGGGGGAAAGGCAGGCCTACTCTTGCACAAATTTCATGCATTGGGCCTCTAATATTTAAGAAATTGCTTAAGGCCCAGAGTTAGGAACTGACAGAATTGGGATCCAAATCCAGGCAGTTCAGCTCCAAGAGGTCATTCTCTTACCTATTACCCACCAGACCCCAAAAATATCTGTTGGACAACAGATATCCAACTACTCTAGTAGAAACAAAAAGAACACATACTGGAAGCCAGAATTCTGATCTCTATGTTGACTTATATTCTAGTAAAATTTTCCTGAGATGAATATTAAAGAGAAAATATTCCCACTCTAGATATCTGTGGCTCCCAATCACCTAATCAATTTCATTAGAATTTCTTAAGAAGCACATTTCAAATCTATTCCTTGACTATATAAGACTTCTTGAATTTGTATCTCTGAATGTGGGAATCAGGAATGTGTATAGACAAATGCACAAAAAGTTCTGAGTTTCTTGAATATACTATATCAAAGGATAAGAAATACATAACTAGAGAATAAACATATAAGAACGCCAATTCTATTCTTTATATACCAAGTTTAAGCTGTCAACATTTATATTTTCACCTTTAATTCCTGTTGTGATGTGAGGGAAGAAGAGGTCACCAGCATTCGTGTTAAATTTTGAATTTTCTCAATCTGCACTTTTTGAAGCACATCTTTTTCTTCCAAAAGTTGAGCCAATTGGTCTTTTTCCATTGCCTGGGCTCGAGTCTCTATAGAAACCTATAGAGCATAATATTTGATTATATTAATGAATATGGCTAGGTTTTAAAACCTTGAAAAGTAACCTAAAAGAATATAAATTTTTGAGAACCATGAACATTTTAATGTTACTAAAATAAAATACTCTACTTGCAGAACACCAATATGCAGTTACCATAAGTTTCTCAATCTTATAATAAAATCAGTAACATATAACAATTCCCCTCATCTGCATACTCTGTATGCCATGTATAAGATTGTAACAATGCTGTCAGAGCAATTCTATTTAAACAAACAAAACAAATAAATAAAAGGAAGGGAGAGGGAGGGAGAAACATCAATTAGAGACATCTATCGGACACCTCCTGCATGCCCCCTACTGGGGATCAAACCAGCAACATGGGCATATGACCTGACCAGAGCTAAACCATGATCTCCTGGTTCATAGGTCAATGCTCAACCACAGAGCCACCAACAGGGCCAGAGCAATTCTATTAAGTGCCTGAAAATATATAAATAACATGCAGAGAAGTCAGAAAAGTAGATACTTAATATCTACAGCAAAAAAAGAGATTTTTTTTAGGACTATCATATGGTATCTCAGAGTTCATCTTTTAAAAGATCATTTGGGGACCATAATGATTAAAACAAATAAATTACAATGACAAATGATCATGCTATTTTATTTGATCCTACAGGGTTAGAAAAGAAACTCAAGATAACATGAAACTACAGAAAGTAGTTTTGGAAGCTGTTACATGTAAAGAAGGTGTGTTTGCAAACAAAGAACATTTTGAACTAAATCAATAATTTAGTTAAACCTTTTCTTCTGTGCAAAAGAAATCAATAGCTTATAGAAATAATAGGAGTTTGTATAAATGTATTTCCTTCTGTTGGGGAGATTACCTAAGACAATTTTTATCTCAAAATAATTTGCTAAGTATTGTGTAAAATATGTTAAATCTGCATAAAATCAGGATTAAAAATGTATTTGTTAAAAAAAAAAAAAAAAAAAGTAGTTTTATGTAACCATACATGATTTCCCTTTTTAACACACTTCCCTATGTTTGTGACAATTTTTAAAAAGTATCTACTTGTCCTGGCTGGTGTGGGACAGTGGTTGAATATTGACCCATGAACCAGTTCGATTCCTGATCAGGGCATGCCCAAGTTGCAGGCTCGATTCCCAGTGTGGGGCGTGGAGAAGGCAGCTAATGAATGATTCTCTTTTATTTTTCATGTTTCTATCTCTCCTTTTCCCTTTCTCTCTAAAATCATGAAAATATATATTTTTTAAAAAGGTATTTACTTGGCACATTTAAAAATCTCAAATTTTGCCCTCTGGAAATGAAAAAAAGAAATAGAAAATAATAGCAAGAAACCAAATCTTTCAGTTTATAGTGAATTAAACTAAAACTTTTGAGTTGATTTTTTCTTCATTAAAAACTGTTTTAAAGTTAGGTCACATGACACATATATTGATGATTTAAGAGCCTTTCTGAGCATTTAGGCAGATCTCAATTCTATTTCTGTTCCATTCTTTACTGAAATGCATGGTTCATACATACCTCCTCTAACTGTTTTTTAAGGTCCATTATTTCTTTTCTATATCTTTTCAGGAGAGCTTCATCACTTGATACCTCATTTACATAAGGAGTATTTTTCATATATTTAGCAGTACTGGCAAACTGGAAAAAAATACATGTGTTAATTGCTCGAAACTAAAACATTTATTTTAGTCAACATTTAGGTTTCTTGTAGTTAAGTTTTGTAGAGAAAAATCAATGCTCTTTCAGGGTGGCTTACTACTTTCAACACAAAGAACATTCTGTGTGCTGTAACAATTCCTGTAATCTACCCTGAAATTGAAATATCTTAAAGGGGAGTCAACTATTTTGAAGACACATAGTGACAGAAAACCTATAAACACTAGCTTACTATAATAGAATCCCATCTATCCTTCAAAATCCAATGCAAATTGCTTCCTCTACCTGAAGCTTTGCTTTAGGTCAAAAGCATCTGTTCTTCCCCTTTGAATTCTATCCTACTTATTAGCCACGTAACTTAGTCCAAGGCAATTATGTTGGAAGACAGTTTAATCTTCCCCATAAGACTATAAATTTTATGAAGCTAGGGACTCTATGTTCTATCTTTGTTTCTCTGACAGGTCCTTGATCCAGTGCTCAATAGCTCTTTAAAACAATGTTTCTTAAAGTAATTGTCAGAAGTAACTTTAAGTGGTAACAAGGTAACCATTAAATCACTGAACCCATCATTGAAAAGCTATTTTATTGAAATTTCTCATCTTTTAACTCCCCTTCTTCCCCAACAAAAACAAACCCAAAACAAAAAGTATAGGCTTTAAGCTCAGAATAAAGGCATGCAACAATTAGCTAGCAGGAATTTAAGAATTATTGTTAAAGACAAACACATTTTTGAATCAACTTCCACCTGTTGCAAGTGATTCTAGTTTTCATTTATGGGACTGATAAAAAAAAAAAAAAAGTATCCTTTTATAATAAATTGAGTAAAAAAGTGAGTTATTTAAATAAAAATATTATGTTAATTTCAGTAAAAGTGTTGGATATTGCAAAAATTGTGGAGAGAGATATGAATAATTAAAACCTGGGAAAATTAAAAAATTCTATTTAGTAGACAACACATTAATTTTAACAGGTATGTTATGTCCATGAAGAAAAGAAAATACAGCTAGCCTGGCCGCTGTTGCTCAGTGGTTGGAGCATTAGCCCACACAAAGGGTTGTGCGTTCAATTTCCTGTTGCAAGTTCAATTCATGGTCCTGGTCGGGGTGCTCACAGGAGGCAACCAATTGATGTGTCTCTCTCACATCCATGTTTCTCTCTTTCATCTTCCTCCTTTCCTTCCATTTTCTCTCAAAAAAAAAAAAAAAAAAAAAATCAATAGAAAAATGAATAAAAACAAAAAAACAAAACAAAACAAAATAAAACCAAAAAACCTACAGCTAAGTTAGTAGGTATCTTTTTCTTCTTTAAGGTGATTTGCCCCCCAAATTAAGTTGATATTTAAAAAAAAAAAAAAAATCAAACTCACCTGGAGAGTACTAAGAGTTTCATCAAAAGACACTGGAGTAATTGTGCAGATAATACGTGTTTTGGCATTTCCTCCCAAGGAATTCTGGAGAATTCGTGTTAATTTGCTATCTCGATAATTTATGAAACCCCTTGGTGAGAAATAAGTTTGGGAAGAAAAAGAGTAAGAATTTTTATATAACAAAAATGATTACTTTATTAATGCAGAACTTTAACGTAGCTACAGCTTTAAAAATAAATTCTTTTCAGGTTAAAGAGGGCAGATAAAAATTACTGACTACAAATATTTAAAATAAGTTAATTTAGCTGATCATAGTCATAGGTTTAAGAAGTCATGCATGCTCACAGAATCACAAAAGCTTTTGAATATCTGAAAGAAATCAGCACTTTTGTCACTGAACTATAATAATTTTCAACCTCATGAAAAATGTAAGCATTAACAGGTAAATGACAACGGGATAAACTTACCCAACTTGTCCATCACTAAGTTTCTTGATCACTTGTCCCAAAATAAATAAACTTCGATTTATATTACAGCCTTCCTTAAGTCGCACACCTGCATTTATTAAACAAATAGGAAAACTAAAATTGATTTCTGTACTACATGATGAACTTATTTACCAGTAAGTTAGATGATAAATTATAAATAAGAGGGTCAGATGCTAATGTCTATGCTTTCTACTAGATCTGAGCCCTCCTTTTTTATACCACTGGTAGAAGGAGCCCTCTCTCTATTCCTCCCACCTATTGAATGAATCAGTGAAGTTGTCACCTGAGAGAACTAGCAAGAGGAAAATGACTAAGAATCAGAAGGAGGAAAAGCCCCTTTCCCAGAAGAGCCTCTGACTCCTCAGCTCAAATCTATTTTTTCGAAACCTCACAAGCAACTGTACATTTACAATGAAGTTAGTTCCTACAGGCTCACAACCAAAAAAAGTTTTCATTTTAAAGTTGTTAATATGCTCAAATGGCTCAAACGTTAAAAAAAAAGCACATTGAAAAAGCTTTCTCTCACTTTTTAAAAAAAATATATATTTCTTATTGATTTCAGAGAGGAAGGGAGAGATAGAAACATCAATGATGAGAATCATTGACTGGCTGCCTCCTGCATGAGCCCACAACCTGGGCATGTGCCTTTGTCCGGAATCAAACCTGGGACCCTTCAGTTCACAGGCTGACAGTCCACTGAACCAAACCACCTAGGGCTCTCTCTCACTTTTATGCTTCATTCAACCTATTCCTGTTTCTATTCCAGTAAACCATTTTTATTAGTTTATTTTTCTAGAGATTTTTATAAATATAAATCCATAGATATTACTTTCTCCCCTTTCTTTTTTACACTAATAATAGTATACTAAATACACTACTTTTTCATTCGGCAGCTGTTATTTCAGGTGCATTATTATTATTTTTTAATATATCTTATTTTAAAATATATATATTTTATTGATTTTTTACAGAGAGGAAGGTAGAGAGATAGAGAGTTAGAAACATCGATCAGAGAGAAACATCGATCAGCCGCCCCCTGCACACCCCTACTGGGGATGTGCCCACAACCAAAGTACATGCCCTTGACCAGAATCGAACCTGGGACCCTTCAATCAGCAGGCTGACGCTCTATCCACTGAGCCAAACAGGTTAGGGAGCACTAATTTCTTATTTACAGGTCTGAGAATTCACTGGTTTGGTGGATATAGGCTACCTTCAGCTGAGTGTGTTTATGTCAGGCTGAAGGAAATTAATGAAGAGAAGCTTGACATCTTTATGATTGTGAACCTTCTTATCTTTTCCATTTGTGTATGTTCTTCAGATCTGTTTTAAAGTTTTCTTTATGTTGGTCTTGTGAAATTTTTGTTGAGTTTCATCACAGTTTTTACATCCTTTAAGTCATTGCTGTAAATGGAATCTTTTGTACACTTAATATTCTAATTGGTTGTTGCTTGTATCATAAGAGTTATTAATGTTAGCATATTAATTTTGTACTCCACGACCTTTCTGAATTTCCTTACTGATTATGACAATTTGGTTTTCATGGTACTCTCAGGAGCTTTCCAGCTATACAATCCTAACACCTGCATAGTTTTAGTTTTTTAATTGATGCTATAGTAGTCTGAAATAACTAGCTGATACAGAAGCTGATTTTTGCATTAAAGACCTTTATCACAAAATTATTATTGCCATTATGTTATTCGTTTCTAAAATGCATGCTAGCTCTTTTTATTCTGTAAAACAGGAAAACATTCAGACCAATAATGCATGAGTTTTCATTACCTTCAGCACCTGTTTGAGCAGCTCTTTCACTGCCTGCAAGATCAACCAAATTCTGAAAGAGATGGAAATAGGGTAGCCTGAAATAATGAAATCCAAACTGAAAGAACATTTTTAATGCATGGTTTATCTGAACACCACTCTGATACCACTGTCTCTCACCCCACTGTCAAGGCCTTCTCTTTTCTGAGTCAAACTGGTCTTTATACCGTGTTCCTTAACTATACTGTATCCTCCAGAATGCTGACAGAATAGGTTCTCTAGTTTCTACACAGAGTTCAAAACCGAACCACGGTGAACGTGATTCTTTCTATTTGGCACCTATGTTGCTCCAACATTATATCTATCCATTGCTTATTCTTAACTACGCACTAAATGGAACTATATGCTCTATGCCCAACACACCTCATGTGCTTCCATACTTGCAAGTCCTATCTTTTGCCACTCCCCTTTAGTTAGTTTGAATGTTCTAGTATGCCTTTACTCATTACTCAGGACCAAAGGCAAATGTTACCTCAATGAAGTTTTGCCAACTTTACCCTTCATCTCACCTTGAATGCAATGCTTTTCAACTGTGTACAGAGAGGTGTTTACAGATATGACTTATAGTGCTGAGCTTGTTATTTGTATCTCCCAACACACTGTAGCATCTTTAAAAGCACAGGCCCCTTTTTCATTTCACAAGTGTTGTTGAAAAAGTGACTGCCTGTCATGCTGCAGGTGGTTAGGTACTAGGAATACAACGTGAACCGGACAAATAAAGGCCCCTGCTCTCAGAGAGCTTGTCTTCTACATGGGGTGGGATGAGGAGAGGAAGAAGTTGGAGAGAAGAGAGAAAAAGACAAACAGATAAACAGTTCATGTAAGTGTATAAAGGTAATTTAAAGAGTGCTGGGAGAGAGGAGGAAGGGACAGAGAAAGGTCTTTGGATTGGTGGTTGGGGAAGGCCTTCCATTAAACCAGAGGTGGGAACCTTTTTTCTGCCAAGGGCCATTTGGATATTTATAATGTCATTCGCTTAATATAATTCAGTTAATATAAATTTATGTTGCTATGAATAAAGCTCCTAGATTTATTGAATTTCCAGTCCTGCTAGTGGTTATCTTGGCAGGGCCAGACTAAATATCTAGCCCGCAGGGTGGACATTCCCCACCCTTGCATTAGACTAAGATCAGAAATGACAGAGAAGAGGGAGCCAGCCATGCAAAGACCAAGGGAACTGTATTTAAGAATAAAGAATAGTCAGAATACCCAGTCACAAAGCAATAAACAAGCTTAGTGCATTCAAAACATAGAAAGGGCAGCACTGGAGGAGTGAGTTAAAAACAGGACAAGATAGGGTAAGAACTCTGATTTTCTAAGTGCAATGGGAAATCATGAGAGGGCTTTAAGCAAGAGTGACATGTCAACAGTGAAACCCTAGGTGGAGAAAGGAATGGGGAGGGGCAAGAGAGGCAGCAGGGAGCCCAGATAGAAATGTGAGTGTGAGACAATGTGGTTTGAGCTAGGCAGGTAGCAGAGGGGACAGTAAGTAGTGGAGAAATGTTTTCTTTATGCTTTCATCTCCAGAGCCCAGTACTATGTTCACAACATGGTAAAGGCTCAGTAAATATTCCCAATGCATTTAACATCAGATGTTTAAATTATTTCTCTGTGGAGACTTGAGGGAATGGCAGGTAATTCTGTACTATTACTTTGTAGTTCTTTCTCAGATACTTCTTTCTCTAAAATACTCAGAGAAGTCTAATCTTTTTTGTAGAGTATCTATTACAGATAACCCAGATACATAATAACAGGGCAAAATGGTGATGAAGGCAGCATGAATTAAGATATAAGATGTGAATGAGCATTAGTATTCAAAGATATGAAGAATGTGTAAGAGATGAGCTCATGTGGAGTACACAGAAGTAAAGTTAGATGGGCCAAGAGTGGCCAGATTTTGACTATGGGAGTGACACAACAAAATCAGTACTTAATAATATTTGAATTGAAGATCAAAGTCATGAAGCCAGGTCCAGGAGAATGATATAGCAATTTAAGAGAGATGAGTACCTAAATAAATATGACATCCAGGAGAATGTTGAAAGATGAAATCAGTAAAAAATGTGATAAAAGGGAAGGTAGAAAAAGAGGCAAAATGACTTGGGTTTCCAGTCTAAGTGACCAGGGTAATGCTAGTATAACTGGAAAAATGGAATATTCATTATAATAGGAAGAAATTAATTTGGTTTTAGACACACTGAAGTTTGAGACAAGAGTGGGACATCCTATATAATAATCCTATATAATAAATAGACCAAATGGCGGAACAACAGTACAACCTGTCGCTATGATGTACGCTCACCACCAGGGGGGTGCACATGGAACATGGTGGGTGTCGGCAGCAAGGGGCAGAGTGAGGTTACTGAAATTTCTTTGCTCCTGTGTATGCTGACGCTGGTCTCCCTTGCATCCACTGCTGGTGTCAGAGCTGCCGCTCACAGCCAGTGCTGTGCCGCCCCATTTGTACCTGCAGCCAGCGCCGAAGCCGCTGCTTGCACCTGCTGCCAATGCCCAGCACTGGTCCCAGTTGCTTGGCACTGTCAGCAGGTGCAAGTGGTGGCTGCCAGTCCTGATCGCTCTCAGGGCTTCTCTACTTCCCCGTCCTGAGAGATAATCGGGGCTGGCAGCTGCCACTCATACCCACTTATGGTGCCAGCCCTGCTCGCAGCCACGGCTGGCGCTGGCTCCAATCACTCCGCACTGTCACACTGTAAGCAGGTGCGAGTGGTAGCAATGGGATTGGGGCTGCTGGCACACAGGGGACCAGAAGCTGCAGTGGGAGGGTCTGGGTGGGGGTATGGAGAATGGGCCGAGACCTGCCCCTGTGCCCACCGCAGCCTCACAGCACACAGTTCCTTTCAAGGTGCACTGGACCCCTAGTACCATTACTGTAATCATTAGGAAGACATGTATTAGAACATGTATTAGAGACTCTAGATAAAAATAAACATTTGGCCATCATTAACACAGAAATTATAACAATGTCTGAGAGCATGGGAAGTAAGAAAGGCCATAGAACAGCCTGTGTGTTTGTTAGAGGGGTAGGAGAAGAGGCCACATATGGGAACAGAGAAGAAGCACAGCTAAGAGAACCTGGATCTTATCACAGAATGGCGAGGAAATGCTCAGTCACCTACAAAGAGTCAGAAAATGATCCTTTGGGGAACACTTCTTCCCTAGAAGATACTTAAGAGTGAGAGGCTGGAAGGTTGTTGGATCAGATGGAACCTATGGTCCCTAAATAAGAGCAACAAACAATATGAGAAAAGTCATCAAATGGATCACTGAACATGTCAAGAGTATTAAAGCTAATGTATTAAGAGAAAAATTGGAAATGTAGTGATATATCACAAAACAAAGCAGAAGTTAAGTTTTTTGTTGTTAAATTAAAGCAAGACTAGTTTACTAAAATAAACTTTGCACTTATATGGTAAAGTAAGTAAACTAGAATTAAATATTTAATTAAGACTGATTTTTCAAAACCTAAAAATGAACAAACATATTATAGACTATTACTTCCCCTCACCCCCGAAGTTGTCAAATCAAATAAACTTAAATATCAAGCTAAAGAATTTAGGCCTTCAAGACAGAGAATAAAACATTAATGATAATGAATAAGAAGGAAGCATGAGAAGAGACAGAAATGATATAGAACAACAATGTGAGGCTTATTTATGTGAAAAAAAGAATGTTTGCATAATGCTTTTAGTCACTTATTCAACAAACAGGACTGAACATAAACTATGTACAAGTGTTGGGACTACGAGGTCAATGAGATATCACTCTTGCTTCCCAGGAATTTGCGGTCTAAAACAGTTTATAATATAAAATATACTTTATTTACTCAAGAATGAATTTGAATAATGTGATTTATTTTTAAACCATCTCACTTAAGTTTCTGTTTATCTCACAAGTCTTAATTCTATTGGCTGAGACTAAAAAGCCAAAAAACAGACACTGACTGCCCCCCCCAATTCCAAGATTATGTTAACTCTTAAATGTGTATGAAAAACAAACAAACCAAAACAAACAACAAACAAAAACCAAAACAAACTCCCCTTCATTAATGTCGGAGAAAGCCTCAAATCCTACAGTCCTAACATCTAAATTTTAGGAGATCCTTTAAGTTCGTACTACATTTTAGCTAGTAATTTCATCCTACATATGATACTAGTTAAACCACCATTTACAGATGGTTCTATTTAAAATAGTTCAGTTAACAGTTCTTATGAAACCAAACATCCTGCAGTTGAGTCCAATTTTGCTTTGTCATATAAGGTACTTTATCACGATTTATCAATACTCACCAAGTGGGACACCTTGACAGATCCTTCACAATTAGAAGGTTCGCCTTTCTCTCTGCTTTCCAAAATCTAGAAGGAAAAGGAAACTTGTAGAAAAATTAGTGCATTCTTAATTGGAAAGATCAAATAGAGAATTACCTACCATCCTAAAAATGGTATGAGAACGACTGCTTCTTTGATTCATTTTTGTAATTCCATAATGTCTATTCTCTGTAAAAAAAATAAAATAAAATAAATATAAATAAATAAATAAATAAATAAATAAATAAAAATGAGTCATATTTCAGCAGTGTATGTCAAAACTTTAAAAATATTAACTTTTATTTTAGTTTAAAAGTGAAAGTGTGAGCCTAAATGAATTTAACCGAATAGTTTTTTACAATGTTTTAAAAAAATACAGAATAAAGTCTTACTTTCTCCCTTTCTGATCCACTTCAAAGCCATTTCTGATGTAGAAACAACTTCTTCTGTGAGGTCAGATACATATACATTCCTCTGAAACAAGTTTAATTATGGGAAGAGTAAAGAAATAGAAAACACTTAAAAGTTTGCATATAACAAAAAGGTGCAAACAATGATAGAATACATTTTAGAAGTTAAAAATGCAAAATGAAAACTATAGTATGAAAATAAGTAAACTTATGATATTTACAATTTACTTCCTATATCAAAGCACACCAAATTCTAATATGAAACTCCCATCTTGCTCTTTTTAGAGCAATATATTATAGTTGTCAATATTTTAAAATTACACATATAGGGTGGGCAAAAGTAGGCGTACAGTTGTGAGTATACAAAACACAGAATTTATTTTAGAATGTATTCTTGTATTATTATATTAGAGGCCTGGTGCATCCTCTCCAATCCAGGACTCTTGAGAGATATCTGACTGCTGGTTTAGGTCCGATCCTAAACTGGCAGTTAGACATCCTTCTCACAATCCTAGATTGCTGGCTCCCAATTGCTCACCTGCCTGCCTGCCTGGTTGCCAGTAACTTTCCCCTCAACCCCCCACTGGCCTGATTGCCCCACACTGCCTCTGCGTGCCAGCCTGGTCACTCCTAATTGCCTCCCCCGACATACACACCTTATTGGTCATCCCTTGTCTCCCTGCCTTGCTGCCCTGGTCGCTCCCAACTGCACCCCTCTGCCGGCCTGGTCGCCCCTAACTGCCTTGCCCTGCTAGCTTGGTTGCCCCCAACTGCCTTCTCCCCCACCCTCTGCCAGCCTGGTTGCCCCATACAGCCTGATGTTCAGTTATTTGGTCACCCCTCACTAATCCCCCTGACAGCCTGGTCATAGGCAGCCATCTTGTGAGGGTGAGGGTCAATTTGCATATTACCTCTTTAAATATAGGATTACTAGAGGCCTAGTGCACAAAATTCGTGCACTCAGGGGTCAGGTCCCTCAGCCCAGCCTGCACTCTCTTGTAGTCTGGGAGCCCTTGGGGGATGTCCGACTGACAGCTTTGGCCCGCTCCCCATGGAGAGCGGGCCAAAGCTGTCATTCCAACATCCTTAGCGCTACCATGGAGGCGGGAGAGGTCCTGCCACCATCACTGCACTCACCAGCCGTGAGCCTGGCTCAGAGCTTCTGGTTGAGTGGCACTCCCCCTGTGGGAGCGCACTGACTACCAGGGGGCAGCTCCTGCATTGAGTATCTGCCCCCTGGTGGTCAGTGTACGTCTTAGTGACCAGTCATTTCACTGTTAAGTCGATTTGCGTAGTAGCCTTTTATTTTGTAAATTTGTTACAACTGTAAACCTACTTTTGCCTATTGTGTATTGCTTAAAAAGGGATCTTTATAATCTCTTAAGAAAAAATAAACTATAGATACAACACTTAAAAACATGAAGAAATGAAAGGTAAATGTTCAAGAACAACAATCCACACTGTTAGCTCTACTGCTCACGTTGCAGTCCTCCCGGATTATTAGAGGCTTCATTTTCCGAGTGTCACACAGTAAGTCTGTGATGGTCTCATTGTAGATCTCCATGTAGGACACACGCAGGAGAAATTCCCTGTCAGGAAACTAGAAGGAAAACAATAAAACATGAATCACCCGTTTAGGAAAACCTAACACTAAATGTTTAAGTGTTAATATTAAATATTAAAATATTGTTTGGGAAATTATCTCCTTAAAACAAACAACCCCTAAAAATCCCCTATGGTTCTATATTAACAATGATAAACACAAAACTATACAAAAGCACTGTTTCAGAAAAATGTAGTATCATAGAAATAGAAGTGTCCAGTCCAAATCTATAAGCTCAAAATAAAACCCTACCCACAGAGGTTCAAATAAAAACATTAAAAATCATTAAAATAAAAATAAGTAATGTAAATGCAATCAACTCTTAACTAAATTAGGCTGCTTAGCTGGCCCTCTGCCGCCCTTATCTTTTATCTATTTCTATTTTTACTGTGCCTTGATAATCACTGGTAGTTAAACAAAGGCAGTAAGGAGTTAACCATTCTGATAAGACTTCTCTGTTCCTTAATGCCCATTTTGTGGTCAGAGTATTACTATTTCAAGCAAAAAATGAAGAACTTTAAGCTCTGAAGTTTGGGGGAGGGGGGAAGTATAATAAATTTATGCCATGCCTTTCTTCTCTCCCCACAGATAATCAAGAGATAACTATAAATCTACTTCCTTTCATCATTATGAAAGAACACTGAGTTGCTATCCTATTATTACTACTTTTACCTGTATATACTAGAAATTTAGCTAAATTATTTACCTTCTCAATTTTTTGGAAAATATCATGAATTGCTCTGGGTATTACTCCCAAATAATCTCCTGAACCCATCATAGTATATGTTTTTCCTGAAGCAGTCTGCCCATAGGCAAATATAGTACCTGCAAAAACAAAATACACACACTCAAAGGTTTTAAAAAAGAGAGACTGAGTCCAGAGTGTAAAACTATCCATATTTGTTGAACAGACAGCCCAGATTAAAATGTTTCTGCAATGAATACAAACCATTGTAGCCTTGTATGGCAGAATCTATGATGGGCACTGCTATTTCTTCATAAACATCTTTAGTGGTTTCATTACTATCAAAGACACGATCTAAACAAACAAACAAAAAACACAGGAGTTAAACCAAATAGTGTTTTCTTCTTAATTAGTAGTTGCTCAAAGAAATAAAATTGTCAGAATATAGTATAAAATATTTAAGACTATATTTTTTTCAATTTTTTGGTCCTCTGAAAATATACTTTTATGTAAAATGTGTTGATTCTCACACTTAAACCCCACCCACCTAAACAAACAAACAACCCACCCACCCACCCAAGAAAACATCATCTATGCTATGTACTTTCAAGAGGCAGTAGGGCATAGTGGCTGAATATGGAGTCTTGAAATAGATTATCGCAAGTCCTGGTTCTGAGACTTACTAGCTATGTGACTTTGGGCAAGGTGGTTGATATCATTTGTACCTCAGTTTCCTAATTTGTTAAACAATACCTATATTATCTTTTTCATAGAATTATTCTAAACATGAGGTCAGTGGTTGGCAAACCACGGCTCGCTAGCCACATGCGTCTCTTTGGCCCCTTGAGTTTTTAGCAAAGGCCAGCTTAGGAGTACCCTAATTAAGTTAATAACAATGTACCTACCTGTATAGTTTAAGTTTAAAAACTTGGCTCTCAAAAATAATTTCAATTGTTGTACTGTTGATATTTGGCTCCATTGACTAATGAGTTTGCTGACCACTGCATTAGGTTAATACTTAGGGAATCAGAACTATTACTATTCTTTGGGACATTTCAATATTTAGAATATCCAGTGAAAAGGAATAGCCCAAACTAAACAAACAAATGCAAACATTTGAAAGAAAAAGTACTGAAAAAAGCTGAGTTTAGAGGGAATGGCCATTTTGCTGGTTGCTAAAGGTTAGGTTTAGGACAGAAAGCATTTGCCCTGATGAATTCACTACTCTAGGAAGTGGTTTTCTGCTTTTGTTAGCAAATTAAAAATGGACCACTCTTGTGGTGGTAGCCTCACATTAAAAAGCTCACAGCAATTAATCTGTGAATCAGGAGGGAAATGGATCAATGAGAAATTCAGTGATCACACTGTTTGCAGCACGCCCATATATCTACCCTGTTGACAGAACTATATAGAAAACCAAAGTTCCATCCGAAGGCTGCTTAGGCATCATGATTTCTGAGCAAGGAGAGATGACAGGATGATTCAGTTCTTAATGCCATCTGATTCAGATCGGTGAATGAGTCAAAATCCTCAATGGGCATGTACGGCTTCTGAGAATCTGTAGAACCTGAGTCGGAATGCTTTTGCCATCATTGCTTTTGGTTTTATAATCTCTGGCACACGTTGCTCTACCTTTTAAAAAATTATGTTAATCCCCTCAAATAGTCCTTTACCAGGAATCATTTTCTCTACTACATGTCTTGGCTCCAGAACCTTATATGTTGGCTTTCTACATTAACACTGTTTTGACACTCATTCCTAAGGTTGTTGAGAACACTTCACTGTCGCTCTTTGGTGCCTAAGTGGCAGCATGGGAGTGTGGTTAGAACACAGATCTGGGGCCTGACTTCCACCTGCTGGCTGTGTGACTCTGGGCCTCTGCTTTAGTCCAGTTCTAAAATGGGAAGGTACCTATCACATAATATCTACTGCACAGACTTGTTGGAGGATCAAATGAGTTAATACCGTGTTTCCCCAAAAATAAGACATCCTCTGAAAATAAGACCTAGTGCATGGAAAGATAAGACATCCCCTGAAAATAAGACCGCAACTTTGGGAGAAAAAATTAATATAAGACACTGTCTTATTTTTGAGGAAACGGTATTATGAAGAGCTTAGAGCAGTGTCTGGCACACTGGCAACACTATTACATATTAAATCAATAGAACAAATCCGTCTAGCCAACCTTTAGGGCAGGCAGGGGTGGGGAACCATTTTCCTTCCAAGGGCCATTGGGATATTTATAACATCATTCTCGGGCCTTACAAAATTATCAACTTTAAAAGTAGCCTGCTACCTTTGGTTAAACACTTTAATTAGCTTATCCTAATGCCCTGGCAAGGCCAGACTGAATGATTTCTCGGGCCTCTATGGCCCATGTTTCCTACCCTGGCTTTAGGGCCTTTAGGTCCCTTTGTCCTAGGAAGCTGTCCCTCACCCTGCAGGTCCCAGTTTAAGTGGTACCATTTCAGACACCTAGCTAGATCCTCCATTATAAACTTCCACAAAGCTTGCCATAATAAGTGGAATTACTTATTAAGGTGTCCCTTCTGACATATGATAAGCTCCTTAAACACAGGGGTGAATTCTTGCCATATTTCAGCAAAGAACCAATATCTTCTCTACTTACTGTTTAAAGAGTTTTCTTGAAAATAATTGTTGAAAAAAAATACTAAATTAAAAGAAAGATCTTAAAGATGACTTGACATTAAGTGACATATTTTAGGCTTATGAAGTTTTAGGCCATAAATACAGTAATAAATAAGAGGGAAATCGGTAGTTTTAGTCATAAGACACTCTGACCATGACTGTGTTTTAAATATCAATTTATTATCTTACTCTTCATACATGGATGAGCAATTTTTTAAGGTACCCACTGAAGCAGTTACCAAGAGGCTTGGTCTCATCTTTAATGACAAATCCAGTATTATTCATAAGCTTTTGTACTCTTTTTGTTATTGTTGTTAGTCCTCAGCCTAGGATATTTTCTCCATTTAAAAAAAATATATATTCTTGATGATTTCAAAGAAGAAGGAAGAGGGAGAGATAGAAACATCAATAATGAGAGAGAATCACTGATCAGCTGCCTCCTGCATACCCTGTACGGGGAATCAAGTTTGCAACTCAGGCATGTGCCATGACAGGAATGGAACCTGGGACCCTTCAGTCCACAGGCCAACACTATCCACTGAGCCAAACCAGTCAGGGCTTTCCACTGATTTTGAAAGAGTGGAAGGGAGAGGGAGAGAGCTCATTGTAAAATGCTTGAGTGCCAGCCAGTAGGATCTTTCTGACAGGACAGATATGAGAACCACATCGATTGGTTGCCTCCTCATAAGCCTAGATCAGGGCTGGGGATCCAGTCTGAAACTGAGGAACATGCCCCTGACCAGAATCAAAACAACCAGAGACACATCAGTCCGAGAGTCTGAGCCAAACCGGCTAGTGCAAGCCTTTGTACTCTTAATAGGACCAGAATAACAGGTTAACTTCTGATGTTAGTATAAGCTTACCAAAATTAAAGGATTTACTCCCATCCACTTGATAAATAGCATTATTGCCAGTTTTCCAATAAACTTGCGTATCTTCTCCAAGAGCTTCTTCTCTAAAACAATAAAACACTGGATTTTACTATAACTGGTCAAAGAAGCGATGTTATATGAAAGATAATTTAAAATATTGCATTTGCTCAAGACTATTTTAAAAGTTGGTAATGACATCTACATCAGATAAACATGGAAAATCCATCTTTGGGGGAGGGGTTGTGGGTCAACACTTTAAAACATGCCTTCAATCCCCTGCCCTCTCATGGGAGTTTCATTAAGAAGCTCTTACTCCCACCGTCTTACCCAGTACTGACAGCTGAAAAGACACACCCAAAATGCAACCCTGCTTACATCCCTCTCCCTTAAATCCTTTTTTTTCTTTTTTAAATATATTTTATTGATTTCAGAGAGAAAGGGAGAGGGAGAAACAGAAACATTAATGATGAGAAAAAAATCATTGATTGGCTGCCTCTTACATGCCCCCTACTGGGGATCAAGCCTGAAACCCAGGTATGTGCCCTTGATTGGAATCGAACCTGAGAGCCTTCAGTCTGCAGGCAGACACTCTATCCATTGAACCAAACCAGCTAGGGCTCCCTTAAATCCTTTAAAAGTCACCTGAAGTCCTTACTATGGCACAGGAGACCTGGATCATGTTTCTCTCTCTTCAACCTTATCTTCTAAATCCCTGTATCTATCCTAACTCCCTACCAACTAAATACCTGAAGGTTCCCACAGGATAATAGATTCAACCCCTCTGCACCTGGAATATCCTGACTAACCTTGCCATTAAGTAACTTTATTCTTTCACTAGAAGCCTGATGCACGAAATCGTGTGTTGGTATGGTCCCTAGGCCTGGCTTGTGATCAGGGCAATCTTCCCCAGCTGCCAGTGGCTGCCACCCACTCCCGGTTCCCCACTGGCCATCAGGCAATCGGAGCCTGCCTGCCAGGGAAAGGAACCAGGAGGTGCGCCTCCTAGTGTCTGGCTGGGTGATAGTTCTGCTGTTAGGGTCAATTTGCATATTATCCTTTTATTATATAGAGCTCATGAAAAGTGTCAGGAGTTTCCTGACACGAGCCCTGCTGTCATCTCCCCCAAGCTGTCATCTCACCAAAGGGCTCCGAGGCCTCCAGCAAACACTCTCCACCAGCCTATGGCAACACCTGCCAGGATGGATTGTAATACTTTCTTTATGGGGTGAAGGCCGAGGACCAGAGGAACAAACAGTACCTCCCCTCCCTGCTTTTTCTCCATAGCATTTATTACTCGCATATCAATCTTTCACATTCTACATTTTTTTAACTTTACTTTTAGTCTTTCCCGCCCCAATGTAAGATCCACAAGACAACCATGACGGTATCTGTTTAAGTACAGTATGCCATACTAAAAAAAAAAAAAATCCATGTAGATTACGGGTCATCCCCACTTTCTGCATATTGTACTCAGTCATTGTCTGAAGTTTTAGGTGCCTACTGAATACGATGAAAAAGATAAACAAACAAACAAATTAATTTTAAAAAAATAAAGAGGCTCAAGGGCTCTTAGGGAGCACACAGCCAGGAGGGAGGCGGTCCGGGTAACAAGCCAGAGAGCCAGGGGGGTCTCTCCCGCAGGCCTTTCCCAGCGGGTGGGCGGGCGGGTGCAGGCGGGGAGAAGCGGCGCAGGGCTGCCTCTAACGCGGCCCAGGCTGAGTCTTTTGGATTTAAGAGAATCCGCAGCTGGAATGTATCTTTAGATCCTTCCTTGGTCCTTGACAGATCAGGGAGCCCAGGCCTGCGGAGGATGAGCGGGTCAAGGAGCAGGAGGGACTGAAAACCACAGGGCTCACCCCAAGGACACCGACCACAGCCCGCAGAAGGTCACGGGAGAGGGTGTGGGTAAAGGATGAGGACGGAGACCCCTCCGGTAACGCCAATATTAAAGTATTTTTAAAAAAAAATATATGTTATTGATTTTCCACAGAGAGAAAAAGGATAGAGAGCTAGAAATGTCGATGAGAGAGAAACATCGACCTGTTCCCTCCAGCACACCCCCTACCGGGGATGTGCTCGCAACCAAGGTACATGCCCTTGACCGGAATCGAACCCGGGACCCTTCAGTCCGCAGAACGACGTTCTATCCACTGAGCCAAACCGGCTAAAGTATTTTTAATTAATAAACTAAAAGGGATAAGCCGCCGAGATCCTAAGCAGCGGCGCCCGGCGCAGCCACTCTGGGAACCCCGCAGGCTTCACCTCCTGGGCCGGGGCGGCTGGGGCGGCGGGGCCGCGGGCCGCACCCCTACCTGCTGTTGAGCGGGCGGACCCGCACGCAGACGGCCACGGCTCCTTCCTCCGCCATCGCGGCTCCTCAGACCCCGGCGCAGCGGCCCAGACCTCCGCGCCGGCGATGCCCAGGCCGCGGGCAGCCCCGCCTTTAAGTTTAAAATTTCCCCAACGCCGCCGCTGATTGGGCGAGGTCTCCGTGACGTCAAGGGCCGTTCCACCTGCGGCGCGGCGCGGGGGGGGCTCGAGGCCGGCGGGCGCGACCACGGGTTTGCGAGTGGGTGGAAAGGGTCTGGAGGAGGGTGGGTGCAGAGAGGGATCCGCGATAAATAAACAGCTATTACCTGCTACAAGCCACTGAACTGCATGCGGGACTCCACTTCACCCCAAAAGTTCGCCGTATGCAGAAAAAACACACAATTGTTTCTCACGTACAAAAAAGAATCAAAGTGCTCCCCTCACCCCCCCAAAAAAGAAGGAAAAAAAAGGAAAAGAAGAGGAAGAAGAAAAACCTTCACTGCCCAGCCTGGAAACAAGAATCTTGTGCTCAGAAGCTCTGAGGTTTAGATTTTCTCTTTATCTCTTTAAGTTCCTGTTTTCATTGGCTTTGGGTTCTGGAAGGAAGAACAGTTTGCCACGCTGATGCTGCCTTTTGAGATACTGATTTTAACCTGTTTGTTAAGAAACAAAACACTCAGAAAGAACCTTTTATTCTTCTCCCTTTCCTGCCCAAAGTAGTCAGAGAAGCCTGCTTTAGGAAGGGAACCTTGGCTTAACCATCACTTTAAGAATCTGTTAATTTGATTAGCCTAGTTGGAAGATACTGGGCTGTATCTATAATAAGACAATAAATAAGAGTTAAGAAAGCTGTGCTTTCACTTAAATTGAGTGGTCAGGAAAGGCAAAGAGAGATGTTAAAGATAAACTGAGGCATATTTAAAAAATTTAAAGGATTATTTGAGCAAAAATCTATTCAAATCAGCCAGTATCTCATCTAGCAGATAGAAAAGAGCTCTAAGGACCTATACAAAAAGAATGACTCTCACAGACAGAAAGGTGTGGAAAAAGGAAATTACACTCAGCCCAAAAGTGGATTGGTGATTAAAAACTGACTTTCCTTTACGGAGTGACAGGGGCCTATCAGGCAGATTACCTAGTGCTGAGTTGTTGATTCCTGATTGATTAGTTTAAAATCCTGTTGCTGGGAAAGCCAAGAATATATTTAAATCTGTGAAGCTCCCGTCTGGCCTGGTGGCATGGTGTTTAGCATGAGCAACTCCATTTTGGGCCTGTTGTCTTATTTTCAACAGATTAAAGAATTTGAAGTATGGAATGTTTGGAGAGAGAGTTTTAAAATTTGCATGCATACTACTTCTCTAAAAGGTGATTAAAATTCCTACTATTAACTTTTTTCTTACCTCAAAGATTAGTATATGTGTATGATGAAAAAAATGTAAGTAACATAAGAAGAATCACAGTGAAAAATTAACCTTCTTCCCACAACTGATCCCCAGGGTACAAGTTTGTCTCTCCAAAGGTAACTTGCCATTACCTAGAGAGTTATCCTCAAATCAATCTATAGATATGCACGTACTAGTACATGTCTCTTTTTCTATATTGCATATCTTTTTACATAAATAGGTACCTACCTACTATATGAATATCATGTAGTCTACTTTGCTTAAAACATGATATTTAACAATTTTTACCCAGTTCACAAAGGTAAAATGAATACCTGAGGCATGCATGTTAATTGCATACACTTCCATGTTGATGTTTAAATCACAGTTTTTCCATCCAAACTTTGCTTATTTCTGCTGAAGCTGCAGAGGGCACTGTCACCCTTCCAGAAGTATGGCCAAGCCTTGAATAGTGTGTATATGTGTGTGTGTGTGTGTTCTTTTTATTAAAACACAGGATTTGTGTGGCATCGTGGAAACTACTGACCTAGGTCATCCAACTCCACAATTTATAAACTATGCCACACTAGGAAATCATTTATCTCTGTGATTCAGTATTTTCTCATCCACAAAATGAGGAGATTGGATGAAAGTATTTTTAAGGTTCCTTTTAGCTTCAATAAGTTTATGACATCTTTCTTTAAAAAACCTGTTAAAATTGAGTATGGATGAGTGTTAAATAGAATATGGATGAGTGCAGGGTGGGAAAAGCACTCTAGGTTACAGAGAAAATCTAAGACAGTTACAGTGCTGGTGACGTCCACCCTAATTCATTCTCCTTTTTCTGGACAGAAAGAAAGACTACAGTACCAGCCTGTCTTGCACGTAGGCTGCTATTTCTAGGCCTAGATATAAAAACTTCATGGGTGCATTTTTCCTCGGTGATCAGTCTTTCCCTTTGCCTCACTGACTATTGCAAACCTTGGCCATTCTCCTCAAAGCTGGGTCTATCTTTACTGAGAAACTAGGGCAATCTGGTAAGATGTCTCTCTACCTAGCTCTCCCAATCTGCTAACCTACACTCCAACTGATCTACATCTCCCTAACTCTTGTCTCCTTTCATGTAGTTACTGAGAATGAGGTCTCTGTCTGGTCTGAGGTAGATCCACCCTTGATTCCTTCCTTTCCAGCACCTTGTTCCAGCAATTATTCTCTATTATATATTAAAAAAAAAAAAAGCTACAAAACAACAAGCGAAGAATCACTCACTGCTCTAAAATAACAATAATCTAAAATGTCAAATAAAAAAAAAAGAGTTGTCAAGTGAACATTTTGTTTCATTTACCCATCAAACTTCATATTCCCTAAAATGAGTGAAATGTTTTTACTTCTATTTCACAGTTGAGCAAGCTAAACTTAAAAGATTTGAGTTATTTGCCATTGCATTAGAAGCTGAATGTAAGTCCAATGCTTTTGTGACACTACTATAGCTGTTTAAAAAGGTTTACTTCACATCCATTTGCATGATTAAACTTTTTCTGACACTCTTCACACTTTACTTTTTCTTTAAATGGCTATGGCCACATAATAAATATTTTAGGCTTTGTGGCCATTGTAGTAGGAAGGCAGCTATAGATAATTCATAAATGAATGGGAATGGTGGTATTCTAATACAACATTATTTATAGATAACGAAACTTAGATTTAATTTTACATATCATAAAATATTATTTTTCTTTTGTTTTCAGTCATTCAAAAATGTAAAAGCCATTGTTGGTTCCTGGGACATACAAAAATGGGTGGTAGGCTGGATTTGTTCTATGGGCCTCAGTTTGCCACCCCTTGTAATTTATGTCCATAATTTTTGTATTTTTTCATATATATATATGTTTTTCATATATATATATGTATATATATGTATATATATTTCAATATTTCAGAGAGGAAGGGAGAGGGATATAGAAAATTCAATGATGAGAGAGAATAATGAATTAGCTGCCTCCTGCATGCCCCCTGCTAAGGATTGAGCCTGCAACCCGAGCATGTGGCCTAGGCTGGAATTGAACCCGGGACTGTTTATTCTGCAGGCTGATGCTCTATCTACTGAGTCAAACTAGCTATGGCAATTTTTAAAAAAATTCTTTATTGACATGGGCAAGGAAGCAGCCAACCCTATACTGTGATGCTCTTTAAATGATAAAATTTCCAGCTTATTTGACACATCACCTATTTCATGGCTCATTGGTTAAGGAAGAAAGTTCTCTGAAAGCTAGTTTTATTCTCTCTTATGTTTGCTTTTATTTCTTCCCTTTGTATTTAATGAGAATAAACAAAATGTTCTGGGATAAGAACAAAAGTTTTTATCAAAAGTTAACAGCTGTTGAGCCATCTGTTACTGTAAAAGAGTTTGATTAGCACCCTACAGCAATTAAGCCATTTTAGGTTGGGATGTACTAGGACAGTGGTCGGCAAACTCATTAGCCAACAGAGCCAAATATCAACAGTACAACAATTGAAATTTCTTTTGAGAGCCAACTTTTTTAAACTTAAACTTCTCCTAAGGCCACTTCTTGAAATAGACTCTCCCAGGCCGGAAAAAAAAAAGAAAAAAAAAAAAGAGGAAATAGGAGGCATAGCTAACCAATGATGGGTATTGTTATTGACAATAGAGCACACCTCATTTGGAAAAGGATGTAGATCACAAAAGAAGTAGACTCCTGATAAATTGTCTTCTTTTAAAATTTTATATTCCTTTTGGTAAAAATATAAAAGGAAACCATGTGAAAAGAACCAGCTGGGAAGATTAGTTGTGAATTTGTAAAAATAAAATTTTATATTCTCAAACTTGTGATTCTTAATTTGTTTTCTGGGGCATGTGTGTTATAAATGCCGCCACAAACGTGGTTCTGGATTTGGCTTGTTGGGTTTTGATTACATAGAAATAGAAATAGAAATGACTTTAGTGATGTCTGGCAGAGTGACCCCACAGCCAGGAGTGTAATAAGATGTGGTGAGAAGTGGAGCACAGCTTGCTGCAAGGAACAAATGAGAGGTTGTGTATATCACCAAGTTGGTACCAAGGAAAAACTCATGTTTACTGGAATGAGTGCAAAATTGGCCAGGTGAGTTTATGGGATCGAAGTTAAGGCAGTAAAAATTACTACTCAAATAGCAAGATAACTGAAGGTCATCCGAGGGTTATCTGTAAAAATATTTGGATACAATTGCATTCCTTCTTGCAGTCAAATATTCTAGTATTTAAGGTGTGCCATGAACATAATCATGGTCTAAACGCGTGTTTCTCAACATGGCCACTGTTGAGACTTTGGGCAGAATGATTTTTTTGTTGTAAGTACAGCCTCACATGCTTTCAGGATGTTCACGATCTCTGGTTCTACCCAGTGAACAACAGTGTCCCCTAGGTATTGTGACAACCAAAATACCTTCACATTCTTTCAAATGTGATCTGGTGCCACCACACCCAGACCAACAACACTGGCTTAAATGATAGAATTCTTCTATGTTGCCAGCCTTACCCTTTGCCAGGCTGTTTGTTTAATAGATGAATTACACACAACCAGACTTTGCAATAATAGACATCTTGGCAATAAAACATAAAGATATGAAATGTTTCTTTCATCTTTCAGATGAACAAAGCAAAAAAGACCCATTGGAT